ATTTAATTTTTTCTTTTTCTCTTAAGATACAGTTTAGATTATTGATGTAAAACTTTTTTCTTTTCTAGTTGTTTAAAGGTATGTTTACTCCTATGTACTGCTTTAGCTACATCCCATAAATATTGATAATTGTGTGTTTTTGTTTTCATTTGATTTCATCTATTTTCTAAATTCTCTGTGATTTATTCTTTGAAGCATGGGTTTTTCAGAAGGATGGTGTTTAATTTCCATATATTTAGAGATTTTCCAAATGGCTTGTAATTCAGTTTTGTCTTGGAGAACATGCTTTAAATGAATTTATTATGACTTATTAAATAGTCATAGTATGCTTTCTTTCCTGGAGACTGTCCCATAAGTGCTTATAAAGAATAAGCTGTATTCCATCTTTGTTTGGTTAGTGTTTTGTAAATGTCCATTCATTGTGGTTAATGGTGGTGTTCAAGACTTTTATTATCTTTTCTGACTGCCAGTTTAGTTGTACTTTGAATTGAGAATGAAGTATTTTGATTTTTAACTATAGTTGAGTTTTTGGCTTTGAGTTGTTATTTTTTGCTTCATATATTTTGGGATTCTGTTAGGTGTGTATCCATTTGTAACTATTGTATGTTCCTGAGGCATTGACCTTTTTGTAGTCAATACCAGAATGTTCCATTTGACCTCTAATGATATTTATTGTTTTGTAAATCCATTTTGTGTGATTTTATTATAGCTCCTTAGGTCTCTTCTGATTCCTGTGTCCATGATATACTGTTTTCCATCATTTTACTTTCAACCTATTTCTTTCTGTAAGTCTAAAATGTGTCTTATATACAACCGGTACTTGGATGTGCCTTTTTTATCCAGGCGAATAATCCTTGCCTTTTGATTAGAATATTTAGTTCATTCACATTTAACAGAATGAATAATATGGTTGGATTTCTGCTATTTTACTATTTGTTTTCCATATGTCTTACATCTTTTTTGTTCCACTTTCTCCTTTATTGCCTTCCTGTTTCTGCAAGTACTTTTCAGTGTGTCATTTTAACTCCTGTTAATTTTTTGCTATTAAAAAATTTTAATTGGTTGCTCTAGGGATTATTGTATGCGTCAGTCTTCTTCAGGTTAATACTGACTCAATTCTGGTGAAATAGGGCAACTTTACCCCACTAGCTCCATTTTCACCTCCTTATGTTATAAATCCAAGAATACAAGCATGTAATTATTGCTTTAAACAGGTTTGTCTTTTAAGGACATATAGAAAAGAGAAAAATATATGTATACTATCTTTCACATGTACCCATATATTTGATCATTTTCAGTGATCTTCATTTGTTCCTGTGTTTTCAGGCTGCTGTTGGGTATTGCTTTTTTTTTTTTTAGTCTGAAGAGCTTCCTTTATTTTCATATTGCAAATAAGAATATGCTGGCTTAGATGATTAAAAGGTGTCCCGTATCACATGGTCAATAAATAGATAGACCAAGATCAATATCAAGTCTTCTCTGACCAAGACCAGTGTCCTTTGAACTTCAAATTCTAAGAGAAAAAATACATCCTTCATAAAACCATTGAGACGAAGTAAAGTCACCCTACATAGTAAGAGTTATGAGACACAGTGGGAACATCTGTGCTTGTTTTTATAGAAAAAGAATTGTGGTATGTAGTTTCTACCAGTGAATACTTAGCCATGATTTGCTTTTGTGTACCTAACTGCTGAAGTGGATGGTAGGGATTTTGGCTCCTAAGTGGTCATAATTAGCTTTTTCCTGCCGTTAAGCAGCTGTGGCATTCCACTCAGCATGGGCTATGTTGGGAAAAATGTCATATATCCTTCTTTTGTAATTGGAGAGAGGAACTTTTCAATTACTTTATCATTCAGGGAGTCTCTTCCAAAATTTTCCTTTGGCCAGTTGAATCAATTATGGAATGATAGGTTAGAGTTAGAGATGCAAGTTTTTTTCTGTGAAAGAGATCTTCTTTTCTTTGAAAATTTTGTATTTAAAGCATTGTCATTTTCAAAAAAAGTTTAAAAATTGTTCACAAAGGTGTATATATAAGAAGAAAACCTGTTAGTTAAGTAGTTCAGATTTGCCCTTATTTCTGCCTGAGCTTGCTGTGTGGGTAAGTATAGTCTTGTGAAGTATTTTGCCTCATCCTTAGCAGAAGTTCCTGAGGTACCTTAGGACTCTACAGAGCTTTTGAAGAAAGGATCCACTGAAGAAAAACTATTGTAAAGGAGAGAATTAGGTTTAGTCAAATAGCTTTTGAACTTCCCCACTCAAATGTTACAGGCTTTTGTTTCAAAATCCAAAAGTTAGTCCTCTTTTTAACCAACTGAAATTCTGTTTCCTTAGAGCTTCTAAGTGCCTTTCATGCAGGGTGGCTCTGACAGGGAGTACATGATGACTAACCATATTGTGAATACTTAGCAATCAGTAGCTTCGTTTTGTACATACTGTTTGCAAAGCATGGAACTTGGTATTAAGGGTAGAAAAAGATGTGACAAGATTGAAAAATTTGGCTTATAAAGACCATCATATGCAAATATATGCTTCAGACTTACCCCACAAAACACTTCAGTTTGATAGCATGTATTTCAGAGATTGTGTGTTTTAGTGTTGGGATGATTTTTTAAATTTTTGTTTCTGTGGTCTAGGCTAATCTCTTAATTTTTTTTGCAATTTCCTTTTACATATTTACTGTGTGACTTTCAGCATACCATTTTCACTGCTTTGGTTTAATTTCCTTCTTTGTTGGTCCTCAGTAAAGTAACCTATTTTTCTAAAATTCCATATTCTGGAAAGTTATAAAGATCAGAATTTTTTCTAGTTCTATGAGAGACAAATACTAAATACAGAAGTTGATAGCAGGGATATATCTAAAATACGAACCTTTAGATGTAACATGGTGTCTTTATATACCTCCACTATGACCTTATACCTTTTCTATATCTAATATTATAAATTATTCATTGTTTTCAGGGCAGCAGATTTTTTTCTAAAGAATCTGATAGTAGGCCGGGCACGGTGGCTCACGCCTGTAATCCCAGCACTTTGGGAGGCTGAGGCAGGCAGATCATGAGGTCAGGAGATTGAGACCATCCTGGCTAACACAGTGAAAGCCTATCTCTACTAAAATTACAAAAAATTAGCCGGGCATGGTGGCGGGCGCCTATAGTCCCAGCTGCTTGGGAGGCTGAGGCAGGAGAATGGCATCAACCCAGGAGGCGGAGCTTGCAGTGAGCCGAGATCGCACCACTGCACTCCAGCCAGGGCAACAAGAGTGAGACTCTTTCTCAAAAAAACAAAACAAACAAACAAAAAAATTAAGAATCTGATGGTAAATATTTTTGGTTCATAGCCCATACAATCATTGTTAGCCACTCATCTCTCTGTTTAGAGGAAAAGCAGCCATAGACAATTCATAAACAAATAAATGATACTTATGTCTCCTCAGTATGTGTAGGTCAAGAACTAGTGTCTCATTAACTCCCTTAATATAATAAGAGTACAGTAGGCAGGTGAAAATATTGGTTGCCTAAAACAAAGAGGAAGTAAATCTTGGAAATAAACTTTACATTTAATTTTTTAGATTAGTAAAGTTTTAATTTATAACGTGTTAGGTAAATTAGCTTATTGAAATTCTCTCAGGTATTCAGAAAACAGCCTGATATAGTGATATTTCTACTTCTACTGATTTCCAGTCACTTCACACATTTAGTGTGTGAGGTATCATCTGCAGCATTGAGATAGTTCGGTTTTCTTTCTTTCTTTTCTTTTCTTTTTTTTTTTTTTTGAGACAGTCTCACTGTCACCCAGGCTGGAGTGCAATGACATGATCTTGGCTCACTGCAACCTTTGTCTCCTTGGTTCCAGTGATTCTCCTGCTTCAGCCTCCCGAGTAGCTGGGGTTACAGGCACTCACCACCATGCCCAGCTAATTTTTGTGTTTTTAGTAGAGATGGGGTTTCACCATGTTGGCCAGGCTGGTCTCGAACTCCTGACCTCAGGTGATCCGCGTGCCTCAGCCTCCTAAAGAGCTGGGATTACAGGTGTGAGCCACTGCGCCTGGCCAGAGATAGTTCAGTTTTCATTGTGCATTTTAAATTATCAGTTTTAATTCCTCACCTATTTTGTGTTCTTGGAGTATTTGCTTAGTAGCATAGCAGTGTGAGAAAATACAGTTTACCTTAGGTTTATCAGGCTGTAGGCTTTAATGACAACTTTAAATCTCTACCCCAAAAGATCATGTTATCTGCTTCCCTGTAGACGATTGTTTTAGGCCATACCAGGTGTTACTAAGGCTGATTTTGTTTCACTTAACAATACCTGATAAAATGTATGACTGGATATGGTGGCTCACACCTGTAATCCTAGCACTTTGGGAGGCCGAGGCGGGCGGACCACTTGAGGTCAGGATTTCGAAACCAGCCTGGCCAACATGGTGAAACCCTGTCTCTACTAAAAATACAAAAATTAGTCAGGCGTGGTGGTGACACCTGTAATTCCAGCTACTCAGGAGGCTGAGGCGGGAGGTGGAGGTTGCAGTGAGCCGAGATTGCGCCACGGCACTCCAGCCTGGGTGACAGAGCGAGACTGTCTCAAAAAAAAAAAAAAAAAAAGAAATGACTACTTATGAGTTCAGAAATGATGGTGACTCTCTTGAGGCTGTTGTGTCCATTGGCAGTACTGGCACCGGCTGTGTCTGACCTTCCATCTTACCAGAGAGCATGTGCTTTGAGTAGTTACTGGGTAGTTCTAGATGACGTTGGTTACATGATAGACTGAAATATTTTATGAACTCTGAATTCAGTCTGAGAATTGGAAACGTGGTATTATCCAGTGTAGACTGATGCAGTTGATTTCATTTTGCTTTTCCCCTTTTGTTTTCCCTTCTATTTAAGAGCTCTAGTGATTGATAATTTTGTCTTTCCTTATGGGAAAGATTCATTTTTTTCAGTTTTTTCCCCCCATTCTTCTTTTCCTCAGTGTGGCTAAATAACACTATACTATTTCTTCCCTAGGTTTGAATTTTGGGAAGATTTTGAAGAAGACCATGGGAAAGGGAGAGAGAATGGCTACCAGAGTCTTCATAAGGTGCTAGAGCCTTTCCTTCTCCGGAGAGTCAAAAAAGATGTGGAGAAATCCCTTCCTGCTAAAGTGGAACAGATTCTCAGGGTGGAGATGTCAGCCCTTCAGAAACAGTATTATAAGTAAGTTCTTGTTTGGGTTAGGCCTAAAGGGATTGAGATCAGTACCGTGAAACTGATAGGATATATATATATATATATATTTTTTTTTTTGAGACAGAGTCTCGCGATTCTCCTGCCTCAGCCTCCCGAGTAGCTGGGATTACAGGGATGCGCCACCATGCCCAGCTGATTTTTTTTGTATTTTTAGTAGAGACAGGATTTCTCCATGTTAGTCAGGCTGGTCTTGAACTCCCGACCTCAGGTGATCTGCCCACCTCGGCCTCCCAACGTTTTGTTGTTATTAAGCAAAATTTCAATACTGTTGTTATGTCTAAAAAATTTTAATAATTCCTTAACAGTTTTGTAATGTCTAGTGTTTACATTTTCCTGGTTGTCATATATATATATATATCCGTTTGTGCATGTGCCATTTTGCTTGTTTTGGGATTGATGTAAGCTCCGTGCATTTTGATTGGTTGGTATGTCTCTTAAGTATATTTTAATTAATTTATTTTTCCTTGCCTTATAAATTTTTTGAGTCAGGAAACTGAATTTATGTTTTGTAGATTTTTCTCAAAATCTGGATTTTGCTGATTCCAACTCCATGGCTTTCTTTAATATTTTCAGCTTTAATATTTTCAGCTCATGCCTATAATCCCAGCACTTTGGGAGGCTGAGGCAGGAGGATCGCTTGAGCCCAGGAGTTTGAGACCAGTCTGGGCAATACAGTGACACCTCATCTCTATTAAAAAAATTTTTTTTTAAAACCACTTTTCCTTTGAACTGTGTTTTTTGTATACTCACAAGTAATTGTAAAGGCTTGATTAGACTCAGATTCAGTGTGACTTTAGAGGCAGAGGAATGTTCTTTCACAGGATAAATGTCTTTTTTTTGTGATGTTAATGACTAATGATGAGCATTGCCTAGATCTGTTAATTCATTAGAGAGTACAAAAGGGTGATATTCAAATTTTATCACTCACTTGTTTATTAGGTGGAATACTTCTATAAAAAGAAACTTTCCCATGTCAGCTGAGGAACAGTTCATATAGGAAAGGCAGAATAAGATTCTTTTTTATTTTCGCCATTTTCAAGAGGAGAAGATCTACTTTTCTTCAAAGGTTTTGACCAGTGAGGTTTATTTTGATATAATTATGAACTCATCAGTTACACCTATTTATGGTTAATTCTGTTGCAGTTATTATCCATATTCATGCTCTAACAGTCCCATTTTTAGCTAGTGGGAACTTATTCAAGTTGGTTTTTGGAGTCCTTTTGACATAACCGTAATAGTAGTTGATAGTTTCTTTGCTATCTGGAATGATAAAGTGTTCCACATTCGTCTTGTACATTTCCTGCCCCAGAACTAGAGTCAGCCATATATCCAAGAAGTTCTGCATACTCTTTTACTAGGAAATATTTGTTTTTGTTTTTCCTCTGAAAATAGTTTAATACTATAAAATGTAAAAGGGGAAATAGTGTTACCTGAGTAACATGAATGTGTCAGTTGGTCGATGCTATTTTGGATGTTGATTGATCATATGATTTTTCTGCCTACTCTAGATACTTCCAGTTTGCTTAAACTGATTTAGTTGAGTTTTTATCACTTGCATTTTAAGAGTCCTGGCTAATACTCTTGCCTTCAGGCTGCACAACATGCAGGATTGCGGAAAGCACTAGAGAGCCAAAGAAAGTGAGCAGAGTTACTTCAGGGCCACCAGCATTCCCTGCAATCCCTGTCCACAGGCATAGGCCCTTCTGTACTTTTCACTGTAGAGCAGCACCCGTCGCCACCAAACCTTGCTTCTGGGTGTAACTTCATAGACTGTCGGGTTCCGCAGTACCCTGGAGTCCAAGGCTGTTGAGTCTGCCGGAGCCTCAGAAGACTGGCCTCTTTCTGATGGTTTATGGACTATGGCAAAGATGAGGAAATGGTATTTGGAGACCACATACTGGGCCCTAGGTGCTCTTTGCGACTGCAGCAAACATTATTGACAGATATTTTTCAGTGGACAGAATTGGGAAATTTGTTTTTAATGGTAAAAATACATGATGAACAGTACCACAGATATTTTATTTGATCTTACTGATATTATGCTATACTAAAAATCTCACTTCCCAACCTCACCTAGCTAATTCATTCTATACATACAACAAAGCTAATAATACCACCAATAATAAGAATAGTAGAAACAGGTTAAGATTTTCTTTCTTGTTTTGAGACGGAGTCTTACTCTGTCACCCAGGCTGGAGTGTAGTGGCGTGAGTTCAGCTCACTGCAACAGGATTTTCTTTTTACAGGTTTTGTTTTTACTTATTTTTTTTGCTTTTTAAGGTTATATACCACAAGAAATGGGAGAGTTTTAAAGTACTCAAGATAGTTTTTCTTCTGTCTGTTTAGGCCACTAATGGATACATAGATTTATTTATTTTATTGTAGTTTTTATTTTTAGGGATTGCTTTAATTTTGTTTTTAAATTATTTATAATATTTGTAGATTTCCAAAGGCAAAGCTACAAAGCCTGGTATGTTCAAAGAAAGGTAGCTTCATTCCCTCTTCCCTCCGTTCTTGTCTGTCTTTCCCCATAGGTAATTATTATTACTATTTTTTGAGATAGAGTTTCGCTCTTGTTGCCCAGGCTAGAGTACAATTGCTCGATCTCAGCTCACCTCAACCTCTGCCTCCCAGGTTCAAGCGATTTTCCTGCCTCAGCCTCCTGAGTAGTTGGGATTACAGGCATGCACCACTACGCCCAGCTAATTTTGTATTTTTAGTAGAGATGGGGCTTCATCATGTTGGTCAGGCTAGTCTCGAACTCCCAACCTCAGGTGATCTGCCCCCCCCGGCCTCCCAAAGTGCTGGGATTACAGCTCTGAGCCACCGCACCTGGTCTGTAATTATTATTTTTTAACATTTTAACGCTTATCCTTCCTTTAACTTTTAATTGTTAATGCATTTTAACTTTGAATATCCTCCTTTCTCTTAGATAAGTGGTAGCATACCATATACACGTTTCTCTGCCTTTTTTCCCTAATGATGCATGCTGAAGAGCACCCCATAGTAGCTTGTAGAGATAGGCCTTTACAGTGCACAGTATTCCATTGAGGATATACAGTGTGGTTTATTCAACCAGTTTCCTTGTGGTAGGCATTTAGATTGTTTTACCCACTTTTATAAATAGTTCTGCAGTGAAGACCTTGAGATAGATTCCTAAAGTGTGATTTCTAAGAGAAGGATAAAGAAATTGCACCACTCAGGAAAAAAAGTACTTTTAATATTTTGGAGTTTATGGTTAAGGATTATACATGGTTATACATGAATATATCTGTATTTCTCCTCCAAATTTGGGTAGAAAACATACTGATAAATATTTTGTCAGATAAAATACTTTTTTACAATGTTAAAATGGACATATAGCCTCTATTTTATGGTATATTTTAATTTATTTAACCTCATAATGTTAGCTTATTTCCAATTTTTATATTTCAGTGAAGAGTGCTTCAGTGACAGTCATTTTCCATTCACACATGCACACACAGGTTGAGTCTCTTGTCAGAAATGCTTGGGGACCAGAAGTATTTCAGATTTTGGAATATTTGCTTTATACTTACTAGTTGAGCATTCCAAATCTGGAAATCAGAACTTTAAAATGCTCTAATGAGAATTTCCTTTGAGTGTCATACTGGCACTCAGAAGTTTTGAGTGCCATTTTGGAACATTTTAGATTTTCACATTTAGGATTCTCAGCCTTTGTGTACACACACACACTTAAATATGTATAAAGTATGTGTAAATATGTAAAATGTGTGTGTGTGTGTCTCTATATATGTGTAAAGCACATGTGTGTGTTGTGTGTACATAGAGTTGTTTTCTTCTAATATTCCTGTGTTCAGTGAGGTTGAAATATCCAGCAGAATCTTTAACATTCCTAATTTTGACTGGAGATGTGAAAGATTATGATTAGATGGCAGAAGATCCAAAAGGAAATATTCTTCTTTGCTTCTTAAACCTTTTTAGGTCTCTTCTTTTCCCCACAATACTACTACTTTTTCTTATACTCTTCTGGTACCTACAACCTTCTGGTTTTTTTTTTTTTTTTTTTTTTGTATCTAGTAGTATCATTATCATATTAATTTGCAGGTGGATTCTGACCAGGAATTACAAGGCTCTTGCCAAAGGAACAAGAGGCAGCACGTCTGGTTTTCTTAATATTGTGATGGAACTGAAAAAATGTTGCAACCACTGCTATCTGATTAAACCCCCTGAAGAAAATGAAAGGGAAAATGGACAGGAGATTCTTTTGGTAGGTAGTTCCTCATAATTACTTTCTTAAAAAAACACTTAGTTTCTCTAGGTGCTTTTCATCAGAATGCTCTGTTTCCTGCTTGATGACCTAAGAGGGAGCATCAAAGGAAGCTTTAAAAACTGGAGAAAAAAGTTAGGTAACTAAGAATGATTTGGGAAGTATGGTATCCCAGATATTGGGAAAAAGAACATTCGGGAATTGCTGGTCAGCCAGGTTGCTAACAGCTTCAGAAAGCTTTAAGATGATTTTTAAAATACGGATTTTTAGAGATTAGGGAAGATTAAAATTTGTGTTTCAATGTAATTATTGGAATGTCTTTTAAATCTTCAGTCCCTCATAAGGAGCAGTGGGAAGCTGATTTTATTAGACAAACTGTTGACAAGACTTCGAGAAAGGGGGAATCGAGTGCTTATCTTCTCTCAGATGGTGAGAATGTTGGATATCCTGGCTGAATACCTAACTATTAAACATTATCCTTTCCAGGTAAGGTGATTTCAGTAATTGCGGTGGGGGGAATCAATCTCTCTCCCCGCCTCCCCTCCCCAACCTTCCTACATTGGATTGTATGCTTTGCTTGTTAAAGTAGGAAGTAAGAGTTTTCTTGTTTCAAAAAATTAAGGTTAAGATTCCAGGAGTGTCTTAATTTTTACTTTCATGTCTTTAGGCTACCATATGAAAGTGGTCATGAGGAGACCATTCTTTCTTCGAAGGTGGGCGGGGAGGATTAGACAAAGTCAGATTGGGCAAGGAAAAAAAGGATGTCAGATAGCATCTTATTGCATGTGTATGGTAAAAGTAGAGAGGAAATAAGTGCGAGCTCAATTCCAGAAGCCCAAATCCTAGAAGGAGGGCAGTATCAGATGTTCACCCCAAAAGTTGACCCTGGCTGTGAGGCTGGGAACATAATAGAACACTGGTACTTAAAACTTTGCTAGTCCCTGAAGTAAGTTCTGATGGCTTCCTCTTTCTTCTGTGGAGTTTTTTTTAACTGGAGTTATTATCTTCACACAGTTATCTCCTATGGGGAAAAAGTTTCTTCCGCATAATAACATTTTTCTAGGTGTATATAATCTAGTAGAAACTTATTCTCTGATCTGTTTATAGACATATAGACATATATGCAATTTACCTTGTCTCTTGGCATATGTTTATAGTGCGTAGATTTTAAGATTTATTACCTTTTTTTTAAACTTTGAATGGATGAACTCTTCTACCAACTCACATAATTATGCTGCGATTGTAGAAACTTGGAGCCAGTGATTATCTCCTAAGAAGGCCCACCTTTAAGACTATCAGATTGTCTTTCAAAATACCCTGAAAGGCATTGTTATATCCATAATATCTTATATGGTCTTTCAGTTGCTGTCTTAGAATATAGCTTAAGGCTGTGGTTGTTATCAAGAAACAGCCTATTGCAAAAAGTCAATCTCTGTCAGTGATCAAATCCCTAGGAGCTTTCATTCCTAGGAAATCCTGTGATACCAAGTAAATCAAGAATGCATCGTTTTTCTTTCTACGGAATAGATAAACTTGGTCAGTGACTTTTAGATAATTCATGTCCTCTACTAATGGGTATATTAAAAGGGGGCATTAGGTTTTCTGATTTCAAGTAAAGGCTCTGAATCTCCCATTAAATATATCTTTGGTTTAAGGCTCTGAGTAAGTAGTCAGTGAGAAGGAAGTAAGGGGCTCCTCACCTGTGAGTTGACTTGAGTTAGGTCTGGTGGGCAGAATTCTGGGGATGTATGCCCTTCCACAGAGTCCGCTGCCAGCCAAGTCACCTTTCAGGTTAGTTTTGCCTTCTGTAAAATGAAGTATTTTGTTCATCTCAAGTGGTGATTGTGAGGGAATGAAATGTGAAAATGATTTTAAAGAGTGAGAAATGCTTTATAAAATGTACAGCATATAGGTGATAATTATTTAGTATTTTACGTGTTAATGGTTTCTCTATGGTGACATTGTTTTGCATGTAGAACTGACATATGTTCTAATAAAGGAATTATGTATGCTAATAAATGCCAGGGGCTCTCCTGAATTCATGTGTAGTTTAGCTGCTTGAACACTTTCCTATGATTTCAGAGTGTAATTTTTGGCAGAGCTGGGATGTATGATCAATTATAGCATTTTCAATGATTCAGCAAAATGTTTTTCAAACAAAATTATTACATAAGTAATTTTTTTGTTTGCATGACACTTTAAGTGATAGTTTTGGCCACATTAGCTAAGAAGCATCATTTTTCTCCAGGAGCTTATTATTGAGTGACCAGTGGTCCTATTTCCTAATCTCCACAGTATCTACAGAAACAGAAGTAAACCCAGCCTTCAAGCACAGGTTGGGTTTTCATCTTTTTTCTTTTAGGTCCTGGCAGCCCTTCTGATCCTTGGCTAAACCTAGACAGCCCTTTGAATCAGAAGCTTGTAACCTTGAGTCTGTAACTAGAGAGCTCAGGTCAAGTAGGGTGTGCTTCTTAAGCACAGCTTCTTCATAGCGCTTTGCCAGTGCATTCCAGTTATTTTTACTCAGTGGGTGTTCAGGTGATAAAGGTTCCAAGTCTGCTGTTCTATTCTGAGTGTAGCTGATCTTCCTATCTTACAGTTTTCTTGTGGTTTATTTTTACAGCGTCTGGATGGTTCCATCAAGGGAGAAATCCGAAAACAGGCACTGGACCACTTCAATGCAGATGGGTCTGAGGTATACTATGCATGGCTTTGTTATTTGAGCAACTTGGGCTCTGCATCAAGGAGAAAGTCTGTCTAGCTTAATGTATTCTGTTTCAGAAACAATTTATAGTGCAATTCTTTTGCCTTGAGAAGAAAATAAGAAATCTCTCATATAAAATATGATATTTTGTTGTCACTCCAGAAAAGTAACTATGTGCTTATTTATCTCCCCTGTTCTGGGTTGACAACAGAGTGGTTCTCCTGGTAGCTTCTGGATATCAAATCCTTGGGCCTGGAAGAGCAGTAAGGCAGGAGTAGGGGAGGGTTGGGCAATAGAATTAATATTAGAAGGTTCTGATCTCTGTACTCTTTTGGTGACTTAAGTCCTGAAAAGTATATTTGCCATATCTCGAATTTGTTGGACTTGTAATATAGTGTGGCTTAATGTTCTTGCTCTTGCTAACAGCAACATTTTACAATCAGTGTCGAGCTTGGATTTGGCATTATGAAGTATTTTGTTTGGGGGGCACATATAGAAGAGCTACTTAGAACGAAATAGAAGGTATGACAACATTGTAGTTTGTGCATATCAAATCATCAAATGCCATGGGATTTGAGATAAGTGGAAGAGAAGAGTTCTGGTGTAAATAAAACTGCAATAATGTGTAGAGATAAAAGAAGCAGTGGAGACAACTTGAAGTAGAAGTGTTTCACAGAGAATGCTAATTTCTGGAGCCTGAGCCACTTTTTTTTTTTTTTTTTAAATAGATAGAACAGACTTAGCTTTCTGAAGGGCTTTGAAAACTCTTGATGCCTGTTCCTGTTACTTCAGAATGCTCTGCTGTCTGCCTTTAGAGTATAGAAATCCTAGTTAGACTAGTATTCTAGTATTCTGGCTACTTCTGTAGTCTAAACATTTATTTCTTGAGGGGCTTTGGGCATTAATCTATTCAGAGCCAAGGCTCTGATTCATTAAGGATAAGAGGAATGGAATAATTAAAGACATCGGTCATCAACTAATTCCCATTCCTCCTTTCCTTGCTCCTTGTCTCCTCAAGTGTAAAATCACGATGATTCCGATACCCCACTTCATAATATTGCTGTGAGAATTAAATTTAGTAATCAACATAAAGCACCGATCACATTGCCCAGCGCATAGTAAGCGCTCTAAATGTCTGCTATTTTTATCATACAATGTTGGCTGAAATTGATTTTGTGTTCTCCACTCTTAGGTCAAAAAATAGTATGAGTTGAATGTTTCATATTTCCCTGTCTCAGGGGAAAAAAGTTGCTTTTTGCATAGCTCTCAGTTGATTCTCACTCACTATAATGGCTGTATAGAACACAAGTTCTCTACCATTTCTGCAGTATTTAAAAAATTCCTTTAAAAAACTAAATGGTGCAAATATTATATGCTTACTTAGAATACTGGGAAGATGGTAAAGAGTACAAAGAAAAAAATAATTATACAAAAACCCTCATTCTGGACACAATTTGCTGTTCACGTCTTTGGGGGGTATATTTCCCTTCCTACTAAATGGAACCATTTATATGTTTACCTAATTCGGATCATGTTGCATATAGTTTTGTTCCCTTCAAAATTACACTTTGCGGCTAGGTGCATGGTGGCTCACACCTGTAATCTTAGCACTTTGGGAGGCCAAGATGGGGGAGGATCACTTGAGACCAGGAGTTTGAGACCAGCCTGGTCAAGATAGACCTGTCTCTACCAAAAAAAAAAAAAAAGTCCCCATGTTATTAAAGATTTTACAAAACTTAATTTCTAGGCCCATAGCAAGACCCTGTCTCTACAAAAAATGAAAAATGAGCCGTGCATGGTATTGTGTGCTTGTAGTTCTAGCTATTCAGGAGACTGGAGGCAGGAGGATCCCTTGAGACCAGGAGTTTGAGGCTGCAGTGAGCTAGGATTGCCCCACTGCACTCCAACCTGGGTGACAGAATGAGACCCTGTCTCAAAAAAAAAAATTTTTTTTTTTACATTTCTAAATTTTTCTTATGCTTGTACCATTTATTTATTTAACCACCTTACCCTTAGTGGCATTGAGTTTTATAATTTTTTAACCTTTGTTGACTTGTTCATAGATGCAAACAACATATTATAATCCACATTATCCTTGCTAAAGAGTGATATAGCAGATTGTTGGTTGATATGATCATTTTAACTCCAGATTTCATCTGTTTTAGATATCTCATCTTAAACTGTCCACTGTTTATCTTTAGGCTTCTCTTTGGAGTGTGGTAGTGCTTAATATTTCTCCTAAGAATCACAGATTATGTGCCTAGACACACCTTTTGATCACTTCTTTATTGGAATTGTTTAAAAATCTTTTGAGGGAGTTGTCTCCATTTTTATTTCTATGGCATAGTGTTGTTGAATGTGACTATTAAAACATGGAGACCTTTTCATTGCATCTCTATGTGTATGCTAAATATAACCATTTATCAAGACAGAACTTAGGACTACCAGTTTTTCAGTGCTACTTCTCTGCCACAAAGGCATCTTTTGACGTATATGATTAAATTCCCTGAAAATAGAAATATTTCACCTTTTCCCCCCGGCTTATATATTTTATTCTTTTTCTCCTGCCCCCATATTTTTCTGAGCACTCAGATGCAGGCAGGTGTGATGTGCCTGCCCAGTCTCTACTGTCATTACTGGGGGGTTCCACACATCGCTCTCCAGCCAAACCTGTTTTGATTTTTTTATAATTTTGGCATGTTTTATGGTAATTGAGGATCTTGTGCTTCTCAGCACTTCCCATATATGATCTATTTAGTGTGGTGTTTCTATATTTCTCACCAGCCTAACAAACATAAATATTTATATAATAAATTATCTCTGTTTATACTAACTGACTTACATGGCATAATCTACCTTTTCCCTAAAAATAATTGTACAGGTGACTTCCTGGAGTTAAAGATCTCCATGATAATTGTTTGTCTGTTTTTATTATTGTTGCTGTTAACTTCTTGTATATTAGTTGTAGCTGGGAGGTAACACTAATTCTCTCGCTCCCATTGCCTTATTAGATTCTACTTTACTCCTGTTCATGGCACTGACTTTGCCTCTTAATCAAATGAAAATTCATTCTACCATCAAGTCCCTGACATTCTTTTAGCCTCCATAAAGTTTGTCCATCATATCTCACTTTTCTTCACACCTGCAGGGGTTTCCAGGTATAAGGGCTTATTGGACTGTGAAACTGTTTCTGAGAAGGCCACTGCATAAAGTAGTATATTGCATTGTGTACAGGACTTCTGTTTCCTGCTCTCGACAAGGGCTGGTGGCCTGGGAATCAATTTGGCTTCAGCGGACACAGTCGTCATCTTTGACTCTGACTGGAACCCCCAGAATGACTTGCAGGCACAAGCCCGAGCGCATAGAATTGGTCAGAAGAAGCAGGTCAGTATAAAGAGACTTCTGGAAATTGCTTTAGGGTGGGGGGCCAGGGGACTTGCTCAGCCCTTTCAGGACGTTAACAAAATACTTTTTCCCTGTTTTGCCTTTATTTCCCCTGAAGCATTGACTTCTGTTTGTTAACTAGCACAGAGATGTTGTCTTTGGGTCCAAGATGAACCTATTAAGGAACATTTCTTTTTCTGTTTGAAAAGTACAACGTCAGCGACCTTCTGTGTGTTTATCTTGAGAGAGTTATAAAATGAATAGACTTAGAACTGAACCTTTTCTCTAGTGTGGAAAAGTTAAATATCCTATTGTTTAAGATGGTCTGTTTTTATTATACATGACAGTGTTAGCTTTAAAGGTACTTTGGAAAACCACACACTTTTTTGTGAATCTTAAAGTCTGTTCTATATTGGATAACTTGTAAGTTTCATTCTTGGCCAAATACTGTGTTTTTGTGAAACTTTCCATCAGTGAAGCACGATTTTTATTGATGGAACAGGCCATAACAACAAATCTTTAGAGGCAATTTTATTTAAGACTGTAACCTGCTGCACATAGTGTAAATACTGCATCTACTTAAGCTGCCTGCTTGGATGGCTTACAGTCTTTTATGATTAGAGAATTGATTCTGTTAAAATTATCCCCTCTTGATTTTTGACAGAGGTAATCTTTCTCTCTCCTTTTTTTTTTTGACGGGAGGGTTCAGGCATAAGCATAACAGTTACTTTTCCTACAGGTAAATATTTACCGCTTAGTTACAAAGGGGACTGTGGAGGAGGAGATCATAGAACGGGCCAAAAAGAAGATGGTATTGGATCATCTGGTGATTCAGCGCATGGACACCACTGGCCGGACGATCCTGGAAAACAACTCGGGAAGGTCCAAGTAAGTGCCAGAAAGATTGGGAGGTAGGCAGAATCAAATTGATTTTGCATCACCGTTGGATATAATAAGATTCTATACCACAGACGTTAGTCTATTCATTACCTGGAAGATGCCAGGCCAGAACCACAAATAGGATGGCATTTTCACTTTATTTGAGTTTCTTGGTTCCTTTTTTTGCCCATCACCCCCCGCTTATGTGTTTTCCTCTCTTTCTTGCCGTCTCCCTTGCCTTTGCTTTTGGCTGCACATGTGACATATGACACAGCAGTGGAGCTGTGTGCTGGGTGTCAGCCCAGCATAATGTCACCTTTGACTTTCCTGCAGTGAGAATCCAGATTGGATTGGCAGCTATTTTTTTTACTATTGGCAAAAATGTTTGTGTGGAGATTGTTGTCCTTTTTTCTGTTGCAAACAGAAGGGTATAAAAAGAAAGTAATGAAGTTTTAATTGGCTTTGGAAAGAGGCACAACTACATCTCCTGTAAAGTTTAATTAGCCAGGCATGGTGGCGGGCGCCTGTAGTCCCAGCTACTCGGGAGTCTGAGGCAGGAGAATGGCGTGAACCCGGGAAGTGGAGCTTGTAATGAGCCGAGATCGTGCCACTGCACTCCAGCCTGGGCAACAGAGTGAGACTCCGTCTCAAAATAATAATAATAATAATAATAATAATAATATAATTTTACATTTTGAGCAGAGTGTTGAGTGTCTTTTGTGGCAGTGTTACTGCTATGTTTTTTGTTTGTTTTTGAGATGGAGTCTCACTTCGTTGCGCAGGTTGGAGTGCACTGGCACAACTTTGGCTCATTGCAACCTCTGCCTCCTAGGTTGAAGTCATTCTTATTCCTCAGCCTCCCAAGTAGCTGGGACTACAGGTTTGCACCACCACACCCAGCTAATTTTTTTTTCCTAGTAGAGACAGGGTGTTTCCATGTTGGCCAGACTGGTCTCGAACTCCTGACCTCAAGTGATAGGCCCACCTCAGCCCCTCAAAGTGCTGGGATTATAGGTATGAGCCATTTCGCCCGGCTGCAGGTATGTTAAAGATGTATTCAAATTAGCCCTTCCTAAATAGAATGTTTTCAGATAGTTTTCTATTTAAGAGGAACCTAGGTGAGAAAAGCCTAGCTCTTTTATTTTGGACCGGAGTTGAGAAGGTTGAAAATTCTTGGTGAATTGTAACTTTCTGAGTCAAAGGGCAAAGGAAAGAGCTCCATTCTGCAACATTACTAGTCACCTTTCTGGCTTACCCATACAATAGGTGAGCCAGTAGGACTGTAACTAATTTTCTATTCTGGTGGTTTAGGGTTACCATCACAGACTCATCCTGTAGATAGAAAATGAGATGGTTGAGAAATCATTTTTCTTGAGGCAGAGTTCATATTTTCAGTTATTTGACCTCTTTCTGAAGGATAGTTATTCTGATGTAGAACGCTTTAGAGGTTATTTGATGTTTCTCCCAACTACATTTTACTTCCACAGCTCAAATCCTTTTAATAAAGAAGAGCTGACAGCTATTTTGAAATTTGGAGCAGAAGATCTCTTCAAAGAACTGGAAGGGGAGGAATCAGAACCACAGGTAATTAACAATGAGGAAAGGGAAATTTTTTTGAGAACTATGATCTGTGAGAGTCTAAATTTTCTGTAAGAAGATACTGTTAGAGGCTTTTCTAAAGAAAAAGTAATTACTTGAAGGACAGTGTGTTTTTCTTTCATAGGACTCTCATAGCTCTTACTGAATTGAGTAGGAAGGAATTAATAAAGCATTTGAGGATACTCTTTTGGGGTGATTTTTTTCTCCCATTTCTGTTTGTTATAATTTTTGAAATTTCACCTTGTCATTTGTATAAATAATAGTTTGAGACATTAGATGTAAAGGATTTAGAGTTGAAACTGAAAGTAAATGAATTATCAGAAAGGAGAGTTGGTTTATTTGCATCAAACATTTTCAGTAAATACTAATAATTTCTGGGCAACTAGGCAACTCCTCTGTTGCCATTTTATTCTATTTGTGTTGGCTTTTGTTCTTTTAGGAAATGGATATAGATGAAATTTTGCGGTTGGCTGAAACGAGAGAGAATGAAGTGTCAACAAGTGCAACAGATGAGCTTCTATCACAGTTCAAGGTATGAAGATCTTTGTGGGAGAGAGTTCTCAGCATTGATTCATTAATCATACTAATGTTTGTGAACACTTTCTTTGTGCTAGGCACTCTACTTTTCTCTTTACCTGAATTGAGTCATATCCTCAATATCGTTCTCTGAATTGTAAGTATGTTGTGAATGTAGGTTCTGCAGTCCTCCCCACGAAGGTAACCGCTGAAGTGGGCTATCCTGTGTAGAGTCAGTGTGTGGAGGAAAAGAAATCACTGAAGAGAGGGCTAGGTAGAGAGCCAGGACAGAGTATAGAACCAGGACGTGTGGAGCATTGCAAGATGCGTTAATAGATCAGATGCCAAAGAGAGGTCAAAGATAGGAAAAGAGTAGATGACAATTAGAAGGCTCTGATGACTTGGTGAGATTTTAGTTTTTTGTTTGTTTGGTAAGTGAGAGAAAGAGGTGTCAGTGGTGTCTCATATAACAGAAAATTACATGAAATGAGGACTAAACACAGAAGCTAGGCACCAGGTGATAGGAGTTGGCAGCAAAGAGTATCAATGTTATTAAAAAGCTTAGAAGAGTACAGGGACTCTAAATTATATGGCTAGAAGATTGAAGCAAGACAAGGTTTTTGAAAGATGTTACCATGTTTCTAGTTTGCGAAAAGAACTTGAGTATAGGGAGATATTGAAGGTTCTCAGGAAAGAAATGATTTGATGGCACATTGCCACAGAGGAGACTGGAAAGGATACAGTCAAAAGCACAGATGGAAAACTTGGCATTGGGAAGAAAAAGGACAAGTACACTTCAGGGAAGAGGAGGAAAGAGATGCTGTGGGAGTTTAATTTATGCTCTTAATGACTAGTAAAGTAAGTGAGGTGTTTGCTTGAGAAGTGGAAAAGATTTGGGACAACCATGGATGAGGCAGGGAGTTGTTGGGAGGAACTTGATAGGGAGTCAGCTGAATTGAGATGATACAGCTTTGCTGTGGAGCCAGTCAGCAGGGTCATATGACTTTCACCAGCAATACTTTTGAGGTCAGAGAAATTGGATCAGTTGGCTATCCCAAGGTGGGAGATTGGCTTGCAAGGCACAGGAAAGTCAGAATGGCAAAGGTTTCCAAAATTCATGTGACAGCATGGTAGGAAGGATTGACCATGGGTTGATTGCATGGAGGTAGAGAAGCAAGAGAGACCTGATGATTGCAATGATGGCTAAGTGCAGCATACATATTAGGATTCGGGAAACTGTGTGAAGTGTTTGGAAGGAAGCAATATTGTGTGATTAGCTCCAAAGCTGGCCACTGGTAGAAGTTGTTTCAATGGAAGAACAAGGATGGAGTTGAATGGGCCAAACAGCCCTAGATTAATGTGTCAGGATGCAGAGGGATGGGGTAGAGAAGAGTGAAGGTGAATTATTAGTGTTTGTCATAGTCAGTTTGGGCTCTTGCAATAAAGTACTATAGACTGGGTGGTTTATAAACAATAGAAATGTATTTCTCACAGTTCGGAAGATTTGAAGTTTGAGATCAGGGTGCCAACATGGTCAGGTTCTGGTGGAGGCTGTCAGGTTGCAGACTGCTGAGTTTTCTTAACTTCACATGCTAGAGAGAGAGAAGCTAGAGAGCTCTCTGGGGGTCCCTTTTATAAGGGCAGTAATCCTATTATGAAGGCTCTACCCTCATGACCTCCTAACACCTTACGTTGGGAGTTAGGATTTCATCATATGACTTTTGGGAAGAATATAAACATTCAGTCCATTGCACTGTTTCAGTTCAGTTCCACCTCTGTGACTCCCGCTCCTTTCTTCAGCAATAAAAACCCGCACTTGTGTTAACTCTTACTGTGTTTCAAGCACTATTTTAAGTTAAGGGCCATAGTCTGGCCTTCAACCACTATGTCCCTTTTGGAAAGGTTAAATTTCTTACTGCATGAACCACTAACATATGTGCATATTTATTTACATCAATCTTAATTTTAGTTAATTTTAGCCAAAAGTCATAAAGTGAGAGTCTTAACTTGACTTCACTGTCAGCTCCAAATGACTTTAAGGAATGGAGTCTCCAGAGGCTCATTTACACCTTACAACTATCTCAAAGACTAGGAGGGAAGGAATAAGAAGAATGCGGAGCCAGGCTGGAGGCCGCCTGCCACTGCCCAGAGGCTGTCCAGAGGTGGTAGATGTTTCTGTGTACCCCTCGTCTGGTACTTTGAAATGGATACACTTAGATGGCTTTCTCTCTGGGTTACATACTGTTTTAGTACAGATACATATCAGATATTAAATAATATTTGATATGAAATGAAGAGAATATTCTTCCAGATTTAAATGTTTTCTGTTTTCTGTTTTCATTTTATTTCCTAAGACTAAAGTGCACTTGTGAGCATATGCAATCACCACACGTCTTTAACTTTCATATTTTTGATAAAAATGAATAAGGCAACCAGTTGGCTAGATGATAATGAGTGCTTTGAGTTATGCATTGTTTCAAATGAACTCTATACAACTTACAGAAATGTAGGTTCATCATGGAGTATTAGGTATTAAGCATTTTATATCTAAGTAAATCTAAATTTTATCATTAGTATTAGGACATTTTTATGATTTATAACAGCTCATTCAGTAAAACTTATAAAAACAATTTGTATCTTTGTAGCTGTTTCCCTGCTTTTCAGTAAAATTTATGATATGATGAACTTGAGGATTTGACAAGTTGATTTTGGAGGGGAATAAGGAAAAACTAATAGAAAATTGATTATCTGATTATGTAATATCACAAAAGTCCTATTATTCACAGTGTCTACTTAGATTAAAAACACTGGATAAATTGTTGTTTTAGCAGATGGTGTTTAGAAATAGGGAAATGTCAGTCAGACAATGGGTTGTCTGTTTTAAGGTTGCCAACTTTGCAACAATGGAAGATGAAGAAGAGCTGGAAGAGCGTCCTCACAAGGACTGGGATGAGATCATTCCAGAGGAACAAAGGAAAAAAGTAGAGGAGGAAGAGCGGCAAAAGGAGCTAGAAGAAATTTATATGCTGCCTCGAATTCGGAGTTCCACTAAAAAGGTGATCAAGTGAGATGAAAGATATAAAATTACTTCTTATGTTGTGAAGGCTACAGAAGTGTTGATTATGCAAAGAAGAGGCCTTGCATTGTTCCCCTGACACAGAGGCTTCAAGAGCAGAGTTGATACTGTAGGAAACTTAACAAAGTAAAGTGGAGAAATCTGCAGAGCTCATGAGCACACCCATGAGACATCGGATTTGGTCTTTGCAGATTGGCTCTTTGTGAAGCTGATAAACAGGATATGAAATTTCCAGAAGTTTGCATTTTGCCTTTGAGATTAGAACCAGTAGTTCTCACAATTTGGCTCTAATTGCCACTGCCTTCAGCTTTCAGAAAGTCAAACCTCTGTTTGTCCGTAACAGTTCACAGCACTTGCTATAAATACTAAAGGATTATGTAACTATAAATAAGAAACACACACCAACCTCAGAGTTCACAAAGCTCCATCACAGACACTATCTAATTTGATTTTTGTAACAACATTGAAATAGGTAGAACAAGTTTTGTTACCCATTTTGTTGGAGATAATAGACACAGATTTGTTCAAGGTTACAGTAAATCAGTATGAGTAACACTAGCTACCATTTATTGAGCCCTTACAGTGTGCTAGGCACACTTCTAAGAGCTTTAACTTACTAAAAACCGTATGTTATAGCTACTGTTGTCTTCATTTTTCAAATGAGAAAGGCACAAAGAGTAAAATTACTTGCCCAAAGAAGTAAACATGAACCTGTTTTATAATGGGATATTGTAAAAATATCCAAATATTTTTAATCCAGTTCACTTGTCATTGTATTTCAATGTCTCTGAAAGTATGACTATCCTAAGTGGGTATTTCTCCAAGACCTCTGTCCCCTTATTTGTCAAAGGAAAATTGACTTTTCTGATGTGATGAGAAGTTCTGAGTACTAAAGAATTAAGATAGCCTTCTCTTAGTCCTTTCACCACTTGAACTTCGCACTTGTTACAGTGTGACTGCCTCAATCTTTCTCAGGCTCAGACAAATGACAGTGACTCTGACACTGAGTCTAAGAGGCAGGCCCAGAGATCCTCTGCTTCTGAGAGTGAGACGGAAGACTCTGATGATGACAAGAAGCCAAAGCGCAGAGGGCGTCCCAGGAGTGTGCGGAAGGACCTCGTGGAGGGATTTACTGATGCAGAGATCCGAAGGTTGGTGGAGGCTCTGTCTCACTGAGCTTGTTTGGAAATGCATACTGTAAGTCTTGGGTTGACTGGATCCTGGACATTGTGACAGGGTAGGCAGAGGCTTATACTACAAAAAAGGCAAGAGAAGCTGGGTCCTGTCCCAGATCTTTAGGATTATTCTTCTTTCTCCAAGGTTTCTTTCTGTTGAGATCACTTTTATTTGTTGTTCATCTCTCTGTTTCTCTTATTCTCTGGTTATTCAGAACATTTTCACAAAGTTCAGCTGGGGGAAAGATAATTGACATACATATATATACAGACTTATATATCTGTATATAAAAAAAGTCAAAAATAAAAATGGTACAAATATGTCTAACCTCACTACCTCTCCCCTCCCCCACAATCCCAGTCCCACCCGTTTTAGTACTGATATCAGTTTGCTGGTGGTTTGCTTTGGTTTATAAGTAGTATGTACAACATGTTGTTCAGCACGTTGCTTTCCCTGATCCCATTTAAAATCAGTTTGAGACATCTTTCTATGTGAGATTACTATACATTTCTTGGTATCTGATTCAAATGTGTTTGTCCTCCCAAAAAAAAAAAATCTAAAATTATTGCTTACAAATTTTTTTTTTTTCCAGTTTCCATCTTTTTTTTTTTAAGCCTGAAGAAAATAGAAAGTATAAGGATGGTTTTAAGGCCTAATCCATATTATAATTATATTAAATAGTCCTTTAAGTTTCATATATTTGAAACTGTGAGGTGTTTCTTTTCACTTAAAGGTCACACCTATTCTTCTTTCCTTGTTTAATTTACTATGGAAAAATAGAAATATTTCAATTACTGACAGAATAGCATATAACACATCCCTCTTGTACTTATCGTCTTAACAATTTTGAATTTGTAGCCAAACTTGTATGTGTATATATATACACCCTACCTCCTCTTGCACCCTATTCCCAGTATGATTTTGAGAAGAATGTGTTTTCTGCTGTGGGGCAGTGTGTTCTATAGCTGTATTTGGCTTAGTGTTTTTCAGGTCTTTAATTTCTTTATTGATTTTCTGTGTAGTTGTGGTTATTTTGGTAGAGTCAGAATCTTGCTCTCTTGCACAGGCTGGAGTATGATCCTATCTCACTGTAACCTCACACTCCTGGGCTCAAGTGATCCTCCTGCCTTAGCCTCCCAGGTAGCCAGGACTACAGGCATGTGCTACCATGTCTGGCTAATTAAAAATTTTTTTGTAGGGACAAGGTTTCATTATGTTGCCCATGCTGGTCTCAGACTCCTGGCCTCAAGTATCCTCCCGCTTCAGCCTCCCAGTGTGTTGGGATTATAGGCCTGAGCCACTGTGCCCAGCCTAGTTGTTCTTCCCGTTATTGAAAATGGGATGTTGACATCTCTGTTACTCTTATATGATCCATTTGTTCCTTCAATTCTGTCAGTTTTTGCTTCATGTGTTTTTGGACTCTTATTAATTGTATATATTTTTTATAATCAATAGGTCTTGGTTGGCCTTTTTATTATTGTAACTTGTGTTTCTGTCTGTAGTAATAATTTTTGTTTTAATGCCTATTTTCAGTTTGATAATAGTATAGTCACTCCAGCTTTCTTTTTTGGTATTTGAAATTTAAAAAAATGGTATTTGGCCAGTCATGGTGGTTCACACCTGTAATCCCAGCACTTTAGGAGGCCAAGGCAGGCAGATCACTGGAACCTAGGAGTTTGAGACCATCCTGGGCAGTATGGTGAAACCCTCTACTAAAAATACAAAAAATTAGCCAGGTATGGTGGTACACACCTGCAGTCCCAGGTACTTGGGAGGCTGAGGCTGAGGCATGAGAATTGCTTGAACCCGGGAGGCCGAGGTTTGCAGTGAGCTGAGATGGCACCACTGCACTCCAGCCTGGGTGACAGAGCAAAACTCTGTCTAAAAGAAAAAAAAAAAAAAGGTGTCTTAAAAATTTTTTAAAATATTTTTTCTGCCAATCTCTTTTTTTTCTTAGAGTGTTTAGTCTATTTACATTTAATGCAGTTATTATAAAGTAGGAATTATGTCTGCACTTTGCTGTTTGTTTTCTATATGTCATGTCCTTTTTGTTTATTTCCTCATTACTACTTTCTTTTGTGTTAAATATATACCATTTTAATTACCTGTAAAAAAAAAAAATAACTATTTTTTCACTTATTTTCTTAGTGATTGCCCTGGAGATTACAAGTAACGTCTTAGAACAATTTACTTTGAATTAGCGTCAATTTAATTTCAATGGCATTATAAAAACTTTGCTCCAGTTATAGCTCACCACCCCCATTTGTGCTGTTGTCACACATTACATCTTTACACATTGTAAACCCATGAGTGCAGTTTTATAATTAATATTTTATATAGTTGGTTGTCTCTTTTTTTTTTTTTTTCTTCTGAGACGGAGTTTTGCTCTTCTCACCCAGGCTGGGGTACAGTGGTGCAATCTTGGCTCACTGCAACCTCCACTTCCCAGGTTCAAGTGACTGTCCTGCCTCAGCCTCCCGAGTAGCTGAGATTACTGGTGCCTGCCACCACGCTGGCTAATTTTTTTGTATTTTTAGTAGAGATGGGATTTCACCATGTTGGCCAGGCTGGTCTTGAACTCCTGACCTCAGGTGATCGCTGTGCCTCGGCCTCCCAAAGGGCTGGGATTAGAAGTGTAAGCCATCCACACCCAGCCTAGTTAGTTGTCTTTTAAAATCAGATAGAAGGAAAAGAGTTACAAACAAAAATACATGTATACTGTTTTTATATTTACTTTATTATTCCATGGGTGCTCTTATTTCTTCATGTGATTTCAGTTACTATTTTATGTCCTTTCGTGTCTGCCCAAAGGACTCTCTTTTAGCATTTTCTTTTGAGGCAGGTCTGCTAACAACGGATTCTCTATTTTGGCTTAGCTGGCACTGTCTTAATTTCATCTTCATTTTTGAAAGAAAGTCTATTTTCTTTTTTTCTGTTTCTCATGTGGGATAGTCTCAATTGGCCTATCTTCAGATTTGCTGGTTTTTCTTCTTCAGGCTCATACCTGCTGCTGAGCCTCCCCAGTGATTTTTTTTTCATTTCCGTTATTGTAGTTTTCAACTCTAGAATTTCTATTTCACTCTTTAAAAAATGTCTGTTTTTAAACAGCCTTTCTGTTTCTATTGATAACATTTTCGTCCTTTCTTTTTAATTCTCCAGACAGATTTTTTTTAAACTCTTGTAAAGATGTATAATAGCTCATTAACATCCTTGTCTGATAAGCCTGCATGCTAGACTTCCTTAGGGATGGTTTCTATTACCTGCTTTTTTTCCTATGTATACTTCTTTTTTTTTTTTTTTGAGATGGAGTTTTGCTCCCGTCACCCAGGCTGGAGTGCAGTGGTGCAATCTTAGCTCACTGCAACCTCTGCCTCCTGGGTTCAAGCGATTCTCCTGCCTCAGCCTCCTGAGTAGCTGGGATTACAAGTGCCCAACACAATGTCCAGCTGATTTTTGTACTTTTAGTAGAAACAGGGTTTCACCGTGTTGGCCAGGCTGGTCTCGAACGCCTAACCTCAGGTGATCCACCCACCTTGGCCTCCCAAAGTGCTGGGATTACAAGCGTGAAACACCGTGCCCAGCCTACTTTTTGGTTTTCTGTATGTCCCATAATTTTTTCTTTGAAAAATTGGACTTTTTAAGTCATATGGCAACTCTGGAAATCAGATCTCCCCTCCCAGCCATACGTTGTGTTTGCGACTGCTATTGTATTTGCTTGTTTAGTGACTTTCCTGTACTAGTTCTCTGAAGTCTGTTTCCTTGTCAGGTTATGTGATCCTTGTCATGTTATGTGTAGTCTCTACTCCTTTAGCTTAGTGGTCAGCTAATGATTGAACAGAGATTTCCATAAATGCTTTGACCCTGTAAGTCTATCAGCCTTTGTTGAAATGCTTTGACCCTTTAAGTCTATCAGCCTTGTGTGTTGGGGCATGTTTCAGTGATCTGGAAGGCAGTTGACAATTCTGCCTTAACTTTCATTTCCTGCTTGCACAGTTCCTCAAGGTCTTTCTCAGGCTCAGACAAATGACAGTGACTCTGACAGGGAGTCTAAGAGGCAGGCCCAGAGATCCTCTGCTTCTGAGAGTGAGACGGAGGACTCTGATGATGACAGGAAGCCAAAGCGCAGAGGGTGTCCTAGGAATGTGCGGAAGGACCCTCTGAAATCTTTCCTCTGCATGGACACAGACCAGCACATGTGTCAGAGCTCTTCAGAGTATCTATCCTATTGACATCTTTCCCTCCAGTTTTTCTTTTTGTCTTTGTTCAGCCTTTTGTTATTTCCAACTGGTAATGTTGCCTCAGGCCATCATGATGTTAAACCTTTGCATCTAATTGTTTTTGACCAATGAATTGTGGACAGGGCTATTCACACTGAGTGAGTTCTGGGTCAATCCAATAAAGACAAGCCTGAGAATGGAGCTTCTCAGGGTGCTGTTAGCCAGGTCCAGTCATTCTGTGGGACTAGGGCTTTTGTAGAACTCCTAGCCTCTTCTTCACCCTCCAGTGGCTGCTACGCTGCTGGTTGGCACAGCTATTGTAGTTGCAGAAGTGTTAGTTTTCAAGGCTGTCATGCAGCTGGGGTTAAGGGGGTGGGAATAGTGCAAGTTAAAAAATGCCCTGAAGCTTGCTGAGCCATTTTCTTGAATAAATTTCTTAGATGGCTCTAAGCCATTTTCTTGAATAAATTTCTTAGATGGCTATGAGCCATTTTCTTGAATAAATTTCTTAGATAGCTGCATGCATTTGGTTAATTTCCAGAGTTGTGACAATACTGATTATGACACTTTATGCCAGCATTCCTATTGCTTTTATGGAGGAGCATATTTTCACAGACTGTTAGTCTGCCATATCTGAAGTGTTATTTAGACATAAAATATTTCAGTGTCTGTCAAGAAGGAGAAATGCAGAGTTAAGGAGTAATCCTCAGGTTTATGTTCATATATAATATCTTCCTAACCCTTGTATCTGTGCTGTTTTTTTAATGTTGTTTTTAGCTATTGTCATATTCAGTCCCATTTTATTCTGTAGCCATATCTTCTCATTTCCATTTTTTCCCTTAATTTGTCTGTCCTTACACGGTTATATAACCCAGTTATCGTAGTAATTTGGCATATTACATGATGCTCTTGATGTGTCATGAAGTCCTGATTTTTAGTGGAAGTACTGAGACCAGCCTGTAGAAATGGGGATGGTGGCATGAGTTGGTATGTAGCATAGTTTAGGGTAGAGACTTGTGGGAAGATAGATTAGATTTTTGGGAGGAGAGGTCAGTAGAGTTTCCAAAATCGTTTGCCTAAGAAGTTTTAAATCATATTTTACTTTGCCTTAATCCAAAAACTATTTGAGACAGTCAAAAAAATCTTAACAGCTAAAAAATCATTGGTTTTCTAATAACGAAAAATATGGTATTGAAGGTAACAATGGTGAACTGAACACGCTGATGAAAACGATGTAAGGGTTTATCACAATTGAGTCTTGATGATTGAATCCTTTATGGCACAATGAAGTCTATAAACTTGTACCTTCTTAAAAGGATATTAGAGCCAAGTTGCAGTTCTCTAGCATATATCTAAGCAGGTTTATGGACAGTCACTGAGAATAAAGTTGATCTTTAATTTGAATAGATTTTTAGCAGTCATTATTTTAAGTTGACTAGTTTCAAAGACATTCAACATTTATTCATTTTTTCAGTAGTTGCAAGGATCGAGCCTACTCTACTTTTGACAATTTGCATGGCTCATATGTCATCACAGAATATGTTAGCATCAACATAACTAAAGTAAGTCTCTGTTTTTTTAATATGTTTTATTGATCCTATTCTTAGGTTCATCAAGGCTTATAAGAAGTTTGGTCTCCCTCTTGAACGGTAAGTTCAGTATAATAGTCCCTTATCTTCCTCTTTTTTGCTTTTATTATATAGTACGTTCTTTTTTGGTAATTTTTTCCATTTAATAATAATGCCGGGAACATTTTTTTTTTTTGGAAACATTCATTTACAAACATTTATATATTGGGTGCCTGTTGATTCATGTCCCTCTGCAGAGGGATGACAAAGATGGTAAAGACAGGCCGTCCATAAAAAGACTTTCACCTTTGTGAGGGAGATGAAGCAAGTATATTCAAAACCATAGTGCGTGAAATAATTTCCAGAAAGATGTTCATATAACTCCAGTTGAAAAGAATGTATTTAGTTATTTGTGTCCTAGTTCTTAGATTTAATAATGTCAAAGGTAAAAGGCTCTTGATGATTTTATAATCTTCTGCTAATTAGCAGGATTTTATGAGGAATAAATGCAAAGGACTCATATAGCCTTGCCAATAATAACTTCCAAAAGGGTAGCTGTTGTTGCTATTCTATAAGCATTTAGAAAATGATTCAGAAGTTGGATTTTAACAGAAGACTCTATTTCAAATAGTTTGGTACTTTGCTTTCTATAAAATCTAAAAAGCCCTAATTTAAAGGAAATATTGGGTTCCCTTCTCTTTCTTCTGACAAATTTCTGGAGTGGGTGAAAATGACAAGTCTGTTTTTGTTTGGTCCTCTCCATTTGGAGAGGAGGTAGTGATGTGTAGCATTAAGCCACAGCAAAGCCAAGAAAGTCAGTTGCATCTTTCCAGGACTATTGCTGACCACCCAGGGGTAGACTGCCTGTCTTTGGGCCAGTTACTGTAAAAGCCAATAGGATGTGGAAAAGGGGGCTTGGCACCTTTTGACAACCTATTTTTTAGCTGTTAATATATTTGTGTGCTTCGGCCGGGCGCGGTGGCTCAAGCCTGTAATCCCAGCACTTTGGGAGGCCGAGACGGGCGGATCACGAGGTCAGGAGATCGAGACCATCCTGGCTAACACAGTGAAACCCCGTCTCTACTAAAAAATACAAAAAAAAAAAAAATATATATATATATATATATATATTTGTGTGCTTCATATGACATGGAGATCAACTAAACATATAGTTAATATATTTGTGTGCTTCATATGACATGGAGATCAACTAAACATATAGTTAATATATTTGTGTGCTTCATATGACATGGAGATCAACTAAACATGTAGTAGAAGTAACTATACTCTGCTTCTAGGAACATTGCAGTGAATGAAAGTAGGCTGGAGAAAGGAAAGTGAATACAAAGAAGCAAACTAGTACAAATGGTGTTCAGGCACTTCACCTACTGCCACTAACAGCCTATTTATTTAATAAAGTTTGCTTTCGTTGTTTATTTCTTTCCTCTCTGTTTTTTGGAATTGTTTTATTTTGTGGAATATTCAAGACACAATTCTTTATGATGGAAAATGAATATGTTAGCCTTCAATGTCCAGGGGTTCTTGTTGGAGCCTTAGAATGACCACTAAAGGAACACAAAGAAAAGTGTCTTTGCAGGAGAAGCTTATATGAGGCCTAGTGGCATCTCATGACATTTAAGAAGAGTGGGCACAGGGCGCTGAAGTGTCCCCATATTTGTTCCTTCTCAGGTTGGAGTGCATAGCACGTGATGCTGAGCTGGTAGATAAGTCGGTGGCAGATCTGAAGCGCCTGGGTGAACTGATCCACAACAGTTGTGTGTCAGCAATGCAGGAATATGAAGAGCAGCTGAAAGAAAATGCCAGCGAGGGTAAGTGAAGTTGGCTTTAGTAAGTCTTCACAGGCTGGCACTCGTGGACTGGATTTCTGTTGCTAAAGGGCGTTTTAAGGACAGACTTGAGGAACACACATGCCTCGTGCTTTGAGGTGTTTATTCTGAGCTGCGTTTCTGTGAGCTTAATATTCTATGCTCCTACAGGTCTACTCACAAATGAAGTTGATTTGCAGAAGGTGTAGACTGAAGAACAAGATGAAATGGTTTCTTTTTATGTTGCTGTAGAAAGTTTAAATTCGTCTGAGTGATGTAAAACCCGGGGCAAAGCTTGGTGGACACCTCTGTATTTTTCCTGCGAATAAGAGGTGTTATAGATCACAAGCATTGTTAATTATCTTGGATATATATTGTGTGTTATGGCAAACAGAAAGGATTTAGAAAATTAATTGGAATAAATGAAATATTGGATGAATATTGTAAACATTTTTGTTACTTTGAGATTTTCATGCCACTAGAATTTGTTCTCATTGGATTGGACATGCAATGTGTTTTCTCTTTGATACCAGAAAGTGATTTTGCCTGTCCTGTGTGGTATCCTTAAAAGCAAGAGGTATAGGAATGCTTGTGAGGAGAGAACTCTGAAGTTGTTATTGGTAAGGGCACCCTCATAGTGAACTTTAAAGAAATGAGGGAGGCCAGGTGCAGTGGCTCATGCCTGTAATCCCAGCACTTTGGGAGGCTGAGACCAGAGGATCACTTGAGCCCAGGAGTTCAAGTCCAGTCTGGGCAATATATAAGTGAGACCTTGTCTCTACAAAAAGTTTAAAAATTAGCTGAGAGTCGTAGGATGCACACTTGTAATCCCAGCTACATGGGAGGCTGAGGTGGGAGGTTCACTTGAGCCCAGGGGGCAGAGGCTGCAGTGAGTTGAGATCATGCCACTGCACTTCAGCCTGTGTGACAGAGCAAAACCCTGTCTCAAAATATAAATAAATCAGTTAAATAAAGAAATGAAGTTGTTATCATTCTACTTCTCCAGACTGTGGTTTATCTGTGCCATTTCTGCATTTTTTTGGGCAGCCTTTATTAGGTAAGGCTACCCTTCTGCAGCTTCGTTGAGCTGTGGTTAAATGTTCAGGCCCCAGAGGAGGAGGCAGTCAGTTATCTGGAATTTTGGTTCTACCACTTCCTAGTTGTAAGACTTTGGTCAAGTTATATCCCTTCAACTATCTCATTTGCAAAATAGAGTAACAATATCTACTTCAAAGGATTTGGATGATTGAATAATTCCATACTTGTAAATTGTTTAGCATAGTGTCTAGCTTGCAATGTTAGCTATTATTAAGAAGTGAGTATTTGTGCTTTGAAATTTTCTTTTTTTCTCTTTAAAGTTATTATTGAATTTGATATAATTTAAAAATATCTTCAAGAGAGTCAAAACTTATTTTAAGATACGTTCTTTTTTGTAAAAGACAAATAACTTGTATGGTTTGCAAAATGATCTGAATATGTGCTTTTATAACATTCAGAATACACCCAAAAGTAAACTTTAGACTTAACATCCAGTATGTTTTCTTTGTAATTGTTTTGAATAAGTAATACATCTACATGGCTTAAAACTGAAAACATATTCCTATTACTTCTTGATGCTTTTGAGAAATGAATAATGTTTTCTCCCTTTTAAATGGTAGTACAGCATGCACACTTTCCTGTGCTTGCTTTTTTTATCTCATAGTATCTTGTGGAGCTGTTCCCTTACAGCACTCCCTTCTCCCCGAAATCCCTCTTTTTTTTGTGCATGTTCACATTCTGGATCTGGCTGATTGCTGCTTCTTGGTGTTAACTTATTTCCTCACACCTGTACTTCCTGTAAACTGGTATTCAGCATATTCTGAATCCAGGCTGACATTTCTAGATCAAATGGAAGATTATTGATACTTCTTTTCCCTTAGGTTGAAATTTTTGTTTCTAAAAATGTTAACATAATTACATATTTGCTTTATCCTAAACGTATGTTTCCAAATATCAATACCAATCCTACTGTTAACAAAAAAATGCTCAAATGCAAAGTGTAATTTCTTTGCATTTCTTTTTGATCTTAGAATATATCACACTAACAATATACAATCAAAAAATATTTTTAAACTATTCAAAGTTATTTTCTCTGTGTGGTTATGCCACCAACTTAATATACAGTTAGACTCTTTTGTTTGCATTTATTTTCAATATTTAGCGATTGCTTTTCTCATTTTGATTCGATTTAATTTTTTTAATTATGTAAAAACATTTACATGGTTCAAAGTCACAACTATAAAACAAGGTACATTTGGAGCATCTTGTTTTCGTTTTTTTGTTCCCCAGCCTTCTTCTCTTCCTCCTTAATAGGTCACTGTTTCTATTAGTTGTAAGTTTATCTTTCCTTTGTTTCTTTTTAAAATTTAAGTGTGTGTGTGTGTGTGTGTATGTGTGTATATTTTCCTTCTTACACAGAAGAGAACATACTCTCTTTTGCACCTGCTTATTTTCATGACTGAGATAAATTCATATCATTATGTAGAGATCATCGTCTTTCCTTTTACAGTTGCAAGTATTCTACCTACCATGTAGGTAGATGTCAATTCACACTTCTCCTCTAGTATTTAATATTTGGGTTGTTCTTGGTCTTTTGTTATTATAAAGAAAGCCACAATGAATAATGATTTAATGAATATACCATTTCGTATCTCTGCCAACATATCTTTTTTTTTTTTTTTGAGACGGAGTCTCACTCTGCCGCCCAGGCTGGAGTGCAGTGGCCGGATCTTGGCTCACTGCAAGCTCCACCTCCCAGGTTCATGCCATTCTCTTGCCTCAGCCTCCCGAGTAGCTGGGACTACAGGCGCCAGCCACCTCGCCCGGCTAGTTTTTTGTATTTTTTAGTAGAGACGGGGTTTCACCGTGTTAGCCAGGATGGTCTTGATCTCCTGACCTCGTGATCTGCCCGTCTCGGCCTCCCAAAGTGCTGGGATTACAGGCTTGAGCCACTGCGCCCTGCCTCTGCCAACATATCTTTGGGATAAATTTCTAGAAGTGGGATTGCTGGGTCCTGGGAAAATGCATATATACTTCGCTTCGATATTCCCAAATCCTGCTGCGTAAGTCTGGTGCCATTTACATGGTCACCAGTAATATTTGTTGGTACCTGTTTACAAGCCTCACAAACAGAATATGTTGTTAAAGTTTAAGTTTGGAGTTTTGCCAGTTTGATAGGTGAGAAATGGTATTTCATTTTTCTTTTAATGAACAAGATTGTACATCTCTAAGGGTCACTTGCATTTTGTTCTATAAAGTGTCTGTGTTCATATGTTATGCCCATTTTCTATTGAAAGGAGTTTTCTTCTCATAAACAGGTAGCATTATCTCATGGATTTCAACTTGGACTATTTGATTGGGGTTTCGTTTTTACTTCCGTGATCATTTTAATTTGAAATTGGGTTAGGGTAACTTTCTTTTTCTTTTTTTTTGGGACGGAGTCTCTCTCTGTCGCCCAGGCTGGAGTGCAGTGGCACAATCTTGGCTCACTGCAAGCTTTGCCTCCCGGGTTCATGCCATTCTCCTGCCTCAGCCTCCTGAGTAGCTGGGACTACAGGCACCCACTACCATGCCCGGCTAATTTTTTGTATTTTTAGTAGAGAAGGGGTTTCACTGTGTTAGCCAGTATGTCTTGATCTCCTGACCTCATGATCCGTCTGCCTTGGCCTTCCAAAGTGCTGGGATTACAGGTGTGAGCCACCGTGCCCGGCCGGGTTAGTGTAATTTTCTGTTTTTTTTTTTGTTTGTTTTTTGTTTTTTTTGAGACGGAGTCTTGCTGTGTCGCCCAGGCTGGAGTGCAGTGGCCGGATCTCAGCTCACTGCAAGCTCCGCCTCCCGGGTTTACGCCGTTCTCCTGCCTCAGCCTCCTGAGTAGCTGGGACTACAGGTGCTCGCCACCTCACCCGGCTAGTTTTTTGTATTTTTTAGTAGAGACGGGGTTTCACCGTGTTAGCCAGGATGGTCTCAATCTCCTGACCTCGTGATCTGCCCGTCTCGGCCTCCCAAAGTGCTGGGATTACAGGCTTGAGCCACCGCGCCCGGCCTAGTGTAATTTTCTTAAGCCCCACCACTTGTTCATCATTTCACATGTGTTAGATACGAACTTAAACTCATGTTTTTTCAGTAATAGTGTTGTGAAGATCAAGTTCATGTTTAAAATACTTGAGAGTTTTTTGACCTCCGCCAGTGGGATGGGTAGGAAAACAAAAAGAGAAACCTTCAGCACTAATATTATACCCTCAGAATCTACTTTTGTTAATTTTGAAACAAAGTAGTATGAAACAAACAGGAAGATTAAAATATAACTATAAACATCAGTGAATTAAAAAAATTCCAAATCTTAAAAAACTGAATGTTCGAAGATTATTTCACAGACATTGAGAGAAAATTTTGTATTATAGATTATATCTTCAAAATAACAAGCCAGAGATACATTCAGAGAGACTAAGAGGTCAGGATTCGTTGACACATGTTTTCTGTGGAACTTAAGCAGATTTTCATTTAACTAATGTGAAATTGGTATTCTTCAGGAAAAGGACCAGGGAAAAGGAGAGGTCCAACAATCAAGATATCTGGAGTTCAGGTTAATGTGAAATCCATTATCCAACATGAAGAGGAGTTTGAGATGCTGCATAAATCTATCCCTGTGGACCCTGAAGAAAAAAAAAAGTGAGTATATTTTGTGTACATTCTTAGGTGGTTGTACCATAAGAAAATAGTTTTGAAGTTAGACTTTGTGTAGTTACATAGTGTTTTTACTGTCTCCTCTTTAACATACCAAAAAGGCCCCTCTTCTAATGTCTTCCTGTTTTTAAACTTTCTTTAGATACTGCTTAACCTGTCGTGTCAAAGCTGCACATTTTGATGTAGAGTGGGGGGTGGAAGATGATTCTCGCCTGTTGCTGGGAATTTATGAACATGGCTATGGAAACTGGGAGTTAATTAAAACAGACCCAGAGCTTAAATTAACTGACAAAGTAAGTAACCCTACCATGTTAGAGATTTCTAGAAGATTTGTTGTGTAATATTTTTATATTGATTACTTACTTCTAATTATTTTCGAGGGGGCATCAAATTAGAAATTAGTACAGTCATTCTCCTTGGAAATACTTCCATCTTTAGTAGTCTGTGGCACTGTTTCACAGATGAAGATAAAGGGAAAAGACAGTAGCCAGGTGAAATTTTGGGGAAACCATAGGAGAAATCTTAAAATTCTGATATTTAATTATAGGTCAGATTTCATTACAATAAATACCCAGGTAAGTTTGTTAATGATAAAAGCATTCCTTGGCCTTAGTTATTGGCCCTTTTGTTTAAAAGTACATTTGAAACAACCATATTTCAGTTCCTCACATAATGATTGAATGTCACCTAGGTATTCTTTGTAATGGAATTAAACGTTGGCTGTTCTTCTCCCACAAAATCAAGCCTCCCACCCTATCTGTTGCAAGTAGCAAGGCCATGGTTGGAGCTTTAAGCAGGGAAGGCTGACTGGCTCAAATTTTGGTAGGATTTGCTCCATGTTGTGCTCCTGGCACATTTAACAGTGCTCATCCCATCTGGGTTTTAGGAGGGTGACAGCACCCTGCCTTGAGCACTGAGACCAGATTCAGTCTGGCAAGAGGCCCAATTGTTGTAGCAAGGAAGAGATCATGTCCTGGCATAGCTCAGTGCTCTCCGGCAATGCTCTAAGAAGCATTTTCAATCTAAAACGAAGCTTTAACCTAGCTCCAGGGATTCCCTGCTCCTGGAAGGAGGAAATCCACGACGGCTGGGATGCTCTAGCAGATGAAGCCACAAGCCCCTCCTACCTGAGTTGTTCTACCCTGTTAACAGCACAGGTAGGAGCCATTGGGAGAGCTGGATTTCTCCATCCCATTTTGTAAAATGAGAACGGCTCGTGAGGGATTTTCAGTGACTGGGAGCCATGGACATGAGATAGGATCTGAGGCTTTAATCTATATTTTGGGTGGTTGGGGAGGGAAAGGACTGTGCTCAGTTTTTGTTGTCTCTGTTTATCCTGATCCACTAACCAGGATGTGGGTGGTGGCGGGTGCTTCTCTTCCTTTCTTGTTGAAGATTCTGCCGGTGGAGACAGATAAAAAGCCTCAGGGGAAGCAGCTACAGACCCGAGCGGATTACTTGTTGAAGCTGCTCAGAAAGGGTCTGGAGAAGAAGGGGACTGTGACAGGCGGGGAAGAGGTGAGTACACTGCCAGCTGGGTGTTTTTCAGGAGCCTGAGGCTCCCACCCTGCAGAATGAGGTAGGAAGACAGAGGCCCTTTCTGGGCACTGCACAGAATATCACCTTCTCACGGGCAGATGTTGTTTTTGAGTTTCCAGTAATGATGGTTTGGTTGGTAATAATATAAATATTCATTTAGGCCTGGTGTGGTGGCTCACACCTGTAATCCCAGCACTTTGGGAGGCTGAGGCGGGCGGATCACGAGGTTGGGAGATCAAGACCATCCAGGCTGACATGGTGAAACCCCATCTCTACTAAAAATGCAAAAAAATTAGCCGGATGTGGTGGCGCACACCTGTAATCCCAGCTACTTAGGAGGCTGAGGCAGGAGAATGGTGTGAACCTGGGAGGCAGAGCTCACAGTGAGCCGAGATCAGGCCACTGCACTCCAGCCCAGGTGACAGAGCAAGACTCCATCTCAAAAAAAACAAAAAAAATTCATTTAAGGCCACAACATCTTGGCAGCTTTCTTACAAACCCATCCTTCTGAAATGTTGCTTCAAATTAATCCTCTTTGCTCCCCAGTGTCACTATTCCACACATATTGTTACTGTTTATTCTACTTTCTCAGTTTTGGAGCAGACTGCATTGAATACCTATGGGTTTGCCTATTGTTATATCTATCTCTGTGGTACTTGTAATAATGGATTCCAGAGTAAAATTGACAGTTGGAATGCACAGTTAATTCTGAAACTAGACCTTAGTTGCTATGTGAAATACCAACTAAATTCTCAGTGAATTCACCTGAGCTTTATCTCCTTTTATTTCCCCAATTTATAATTTCAGTTCAGGCCCAGAAAGATGGAATTCCAGCTAAGAAATACAAATTACACGCTGTACTAGCAGCCCATGTGTGTGTGTTCTTTAAGTTCTCTTGCAGCTATGTCATTTATATTAATTTCCCTGTATTATTATAAGCAAAGCAAATTTTAGGAAAAAACCCCCATAATACCATACCTCATTTTTTTCAAGTAATAGGATCAGAAGTCTCATTCTTCATGTAATACGTTGAGTATGCAATACATTATGTGTTAGGCTCTGGAAAGGCAGATTAGATCATGTTACAGATCATGTCCCATTAGGCAGATAAACAGTATTTTAATCTTTTCCTTATTATATGTAACTTGCTTTCTGGTTTTTTAATGTTACTGTTATGTCTTTAGTATATTATCTTTATTTGTATCTTTGTACACAGAGTGATTTTCCTTTTTTAAAAATATATCTTGGCCGGGCACGGTGGCTCATGCCTATAATCCCAGCACTTTGGGAGGCCGAGGCGGGAGGATCAGTAGGTCAGGAGATTGAGACCATCCTGGCTAACATGGTGGAACCCCATCTCTACTGAAAATACAAAAAATTAACCAGGTGTGGTGGTGGGCGCCTGTAGTCCCAGCTACTCGGGAGGCTGTGGCAGGAGAATGGCGTGAACCCGAGAGGCAGAGCTTTCAGTGAGCTGAGATTGTGCCACGGCACTCCAACCTGAGTGACAGAGCAAGACTCTGTCTCAAAAAAAAAAAATTATATCTTTAGGATGGATTCCAAAAATATGGAATCAGTAGGTTTAAGGAGTATGGATGTTTTGGCTGGTGAGGTGGCACATGCCTGTAATCCCAGCACTTTGGGAGGCTGAGGTGGGTGGATCACCTGAAGTCAGGAGTTTGAGACCTGTCTGACCAACATGGCAAAACCCTGTTTTTACTAAAGACACACTAAAAGTTAGCCAGTTGTGGTGGCACGTGCTTGTAGTCCCACCTAGCTACTCGAGAGGCTGAGGCAGGAGAATCGTTTGAACCTGGGAGGCGGAGGTTGCAGTGAGGCAAGATGGCACCCCTACACTGCAGCCTAGGTGACAGAGCAAGACTCCGTCTCGGGAAAAAAAAAAAAAAAAGAAACATGGATATTTTAATGTGGTATAGGCTATGTATAAGGCCTATAGGTTTTTTATTTGTTTTGGTTTGGTCTTGTCAGGTAAAATGAGTTGCACTCTTTTGATTTCCTTGGAATTTTCTTGTTTGAATTATATGGCTGCTACTGCCATAAAGAGTCATCATGTTGTTTGGTTATGCTTTCGAGGGTCTTGATTTGTACTTTAATCATCATTTTCTCTCCTTTTCCAGGCCAAATTAAAGAAGCGGAAGCCTCGGGTAAAGAAGGAAAACAAAGTGCCCAGGCTGAAAGAGGAGCATGGAATTGAGCTTTCATCTCCTAGGCATTCAGATAATCCATCAGAAGAGGGAGAAGTGAAAGTATGAAGTGGGGTTTCGGTTGAGGGTTATTTATTTATTTTAGCTATACTTATTGTGCCAGCTGGAATAAAATCATCTGATGTGTGTTTGGTTTATGAGTGGATTAAATGGAAATAGAAGATGTAAGTCTTTGCTTAATCTGTCAGAGAGGAATATAGTTTAAGTCAGCAGCTGCAAATTCATACATAATGGAACTAAATGAAAGGGACTCTGAAAGGTTTTGTTGCCTTTTTTTTTTTCTTTTTGAGACAAAGTCTCACTCTTGTACCACAGCCTAGAGTGCAATGGCACAATCTTGGCTCACTGTAATCTCCGCCTCCTGGGTTCAAGCAATGTAATCTCCGCCTCCTGGGTTCAAGCAGTTCTCCTACCTCAGCCTCCTGAGTAGCTAGGATTACAGGCACCTGCCAGCATGCCTGGCTAATTTTTGTATTTTAAGTAGAGACAGGGTTTCACCATGTTGGCCAGGCTGGTCTCAAACTCCTGACTTTAGGTGATCTGCCTGCCTCAGCCTCCCAAAGTGCTGGGATTACAGGAGTGAGCCACTTCTCCCAGCCTAAAGTTTTAATGATAAATGGCGATTGACACATATCCTCATTCTTGGGAATGAGGGGGAGTGGTCAGGACTGTGGTTTACCAGAGAGCTCATGCCTAATGTAAAGGGCACAGCTGCTATGGAGTTCCGTTAACAAAACTCCTGTGGGTCAGGTTTGGCTTGCCAGTTTGTAACTTCTGGTCTAAGTAAAGTGAATAGTAAGTTGGTATCATTTAGTGTGCTATTTCAGTGACAACTTTATGGAATTTCTGAAAGTGTAATTGTACTTGGATATTAGCTCCAAGAGGATCAGCAGTGGGTACAGGAACTAGCATGGATTTGAGTCATATATACATAAATTTATTTATTACTAGTTTTTTTTGAGATAGAGTCTTACTTTGTCACCCAAGGTAGAGTGCAGTGGCGCGATCTGGGCTCACAGCAGCCTCCACCTCCTGGGTTCAAGCGATTCTCCTGCCTAAAATAATTTTTGTACTTTTAAAAGAGACAGGATTTCACCATGTTCGCCAGGCTGGTCTCAAACTCCTGACCTCAGGTGATAGGTCTGCCTCAGCCTCCCAAAGTACTAGAATTATAAGCATGAGCCAATGTGCCTGGCCAGTACATAAATTTAAATACGAGCAACCTAATCAGTTATTAGCTGACTGTGTACAGGTATATAATCTCTTTGGTACTCAGTTTCCATCCGTGAAATGAGAGTGATAAAACTCATGTTGAAGGGTTGCTCTGAGAATTAAATGAGAGGATATCAGTAAAGAGCTTCTGCCTCTACAGTTTTAACTCGTTGTTACTGGAAAGTTTAGACTTTTCTGAGTGCCTTGAGGCTATTTGCTTGAAGACAAGCTTCTAAGTGTAGACAATGATGAACCACTGGGGGCAATGCTGCTTTTTCCAGAAAGTACATAAGTAGATATAAAATTTGTGATAAAAATTCAGAGCCCTGTTTTGTTTCCTAGGATGATGGCTTGGAAAAAAGTCCAATGAAAAAAAAACAGAAGAAGAAAGAGAACAAGGAGAACAAGGAGAAGCAAATGAGTTCTAGGAAAGACAAAGAAGGGGACAAGGAAAGAAAGAAGTCAAAAGATAAGAAGGAAAAGGTAATGGTGCCCTTCTGTTCATGGAGATACCCACAGCCTTTGCAATTCCCCGTTTGGATTTAGAAGTAGCGTGAGATTTGAGGGCCCTGCAATAATTGTCTTTTTATGGGTATGTTTAAGAAGGATAGGTGGGGCTGTTGATGGAATACCTGCACTTGTCCTTGCAGAGAGAGGGGAACCTGTAAGTTTGGGGTGTTTTTTGAAAAAGAAGGCCTTTACTTGGTCTTTTATTACGTATTTCAGGGGGAAATGTTTGAATGAGATAGGACAGGTGAGAGAAATCTTCATTTACATGTAAATACGAAGTATGTTCTCAGATTCATATTAGAGAAGCACAGTCCACAACTGAATTTGAAGAAGAGTTCGAGTCAAAAACAAATATTAGCAAGAGTTATTGGAATATAAATGGATGAAAAGCCTTGCTATTATAACCTTTACATAGGGGTTTTATGAAGTTCATTCTAAACCCAATAATTTGGTACAGTGTTGCAACGTGTACTTGCTGACGTCTGAACACAGTAAAATCATTGCCAAAACACAAACAACTGCTATAATTCTAATATCCAGTGATAACTAATATAGATTTCTTGATAAGTACTTTGAAACTTTTACTTTGAAATTTTATATTATTAAATATAAAATAAACATTTAAAAACAAATATAAAAATCAGATTAGACTGTTTGGGTAGTCTTTTCTCCTCACTTAGCAGTGTATCACAACTTTCCAAGTGAATAAATGTTAAAGTCATTTTTACACCCTTGGCAACTTAGGGAGACCTTGTCTCTACAAAATAAAAACAAGCAAAAATCTAGCTGGGCATTGTGGCATGTGCCTGTGGGCCCAGTTACTTGGGAGGCAGAGGTGAGAGGATTGCTTAGGCTCAGGAGCTCGAGGCTACATTGAGCCATGGTTGTGTCACATTTCACTCCAGGCTGGGCAACAGCAAGACCTTGTCTCAAAAAAAAAAAAAAAAAACAAAACATTTTTAATAGTTGGGGAGGATTCTGTTTGGGTGTAACATGTTAGAAGCAATTTGAATTTCCCATTTTGAAATACTTTCTAATTTTTGATGTTAATAGACCATATTGTGACAAATAACCTGTGCAGTTGTGCTCCCACAGAAAGACATTCTTTTTCTTAAAGTAAAATATTAAAAAAATAAAAACACAAAGAACAATTTTAGCAAACATCTGTTTATCCACTCTCCAGATATCACAACTATTGTTAACATTTTTTCGTGTTTACTTTAAGTGGCTTTTTTCTTTTTTTTGGCGGGGCCAGGCAGGGGGAGAGGCTGATACCTTTTGTATTTCATGAACATGTGACTGGTATGGTTGAAGCTGCCCCCGTTCCTTTTCCCTGATTTTATTACTCTTCCTCTGTTCCCCCCATAACCACCACTGTGAAGTGGGTCTGAAACCTTCCTATTCATGTATTTATATTTGTAGTACATATTATAGTGCATATCCATATAACTATAAACAAAGCATGCTGTATGCTTAAAAATGTACATGAAGTCAAGCCAAGCGCAGTGGCTCACACCTGTAAGCCCAGCACTTTGGGAGGCCAAGGTGGGCGGATCACAGGGTCAGGAGGTCGAGACCAGCCTGGACAACATGGTGAAACCCTGTCTCTACTAAAAATACAAAAATTAGCTGGGTGTGGTGGCGTGTGCCTGTAATCCGAGCTACTTGGGAGGCTGAGGCAGAAGAATCTCTTGAACCCAGGAGGCAGAGTTGCAGTGAGCTGAGATCATGACACTACACTATAGCCTGGATGACAGAGCAAGAATCTGTCTCAAAAAAAGAAAAAAAAAGTACATGAAGTCATTTTATATATCCTTCTGCAACGTTTCCTTCAATATAATTATATAGATTTCATTTATAATAATTTAGTAATGCAGCAGATTCCTAAATCAAAAGGTATGCTGTTAATAAAAGTTGCTACATGATACTCTAGAAGAGTTCTGCCAATTTACGATCTTAACCTCTTGATGACATTTCTGTGCATTTTATGGATAAAGGAGTAGAAGCCCAAAAATAGCACTGATGAAATTGAAGTTATAATTGGGTACATTTAGAGATGGAAATGGGAATAATGTGTGACTAAGCTGCTAATCAGATAGGTTTGTCTTCATGATGTTTCAGGATTTTATTTTACTTTTTAAAAAATAAACTGAGACCATCGTATTTACCCATTGTAATAACGCAACATAGGTAAGAAATCCAGATTCCACGGTAGGATTGCACAAATGACAATGACTCCTTGTAACTCTTTTTTAAAAGCCTAAAAGTGGTGATGCCAAATCTTCGAGTAAATCAAAGCGATCTCAGGGTCCTGTCCATATTACAGCAGGAAGTGAACCTGTCCCCATTGGAGAGGATGAGGATGATGATCTGGACCAGGAGACATTCAGCATAGTAAGTCTTGAAATTGGGGGATACCAGTGTCTGCAGCCACAGTGCTTGCTGTGGCTCTGCCTTTTATAGGTCCAGCCAGAGCTTCAGTTGAACTGAGCAATAGTACATTACTTTGGAAACACATTGCTTACAATATCTGAAGACCATGTGCTCTTTAGCAGGCTGGCAGGAAGAGACTGTCTTGTCTTTTATTGAGGGGAAGTTTAAGGAGTGGATTTCATGTCTTGTGCTCCTAGTTAAGAGAGGCTCCAAGGGCTCTTAGAGGCATTTGGGAAAGAGAAGTGTTCACTGAGCAAATATTTATTGAATGTTTTCTGTGTTCCAGCCCCCAGAGTTACCATGTTGAATAGATAACTATTTCTATCATTGTAAACTGTATATTTGAGTAGGGGAGTTAGATAACTACACAAATCATGTTGGTGCACCTGTCACAGACAGGTCTCTGGAGGAGAGAGAGTGCATACTGTGGAGATGCTGTGAGAAGGGAATTTGACCTAGTCAGGGGATGCCAGAAGGGCTTGTGTAAGGAAGTGATGTTTGAGTTGGGTTCTGAAGGAAGAATAAAAGGTAACAGGAGAAGAGGGGAGGGCAAGGCAATGGGGAGCAAGTGCATGGACCAGGTCTTGCACGGGACTGGATACAGGCCAGTGTGTCCTCAAGGCTCCTTTGCCCCTGGCTGGAGCTGCAGGTATAGATTTCACTGTGCCACCATCCCTTTCCCACCTCTCTGTGGTTTCTCCTCCCCATACTTCCACAAATCAAACAGCTCTTTCAGGCCGAAAGAAAAAGCTGTTTTCTTCCAAATTTGAAAATACTTCTGTCCTGTGGCAGCAAAGGACCCTGTTGACCCTGTCCTGTAACTTCTCTTTGACTACTTCTTCTGAGTTATCTAAAATCTATACACGTATGTATATAGATAATGTTTTCTTTCACTTTTATTATTAAGTCTCTCTTTAGCCTGTGAGCTGTCTGAGGACAAGTATTATGTTTTATATAAAGTTCATTTAGATGCTAGTAGTGTATCAGTAAGTGAGTAAATTGAATAAATGAATAACTACATAGTCAGCTAACCAATCTGTTTCCTAGTCTTTCTTATCCAAGTGTTTATAAGAGAAAATGATGTCTAATGTTCTGTGGTACCATGACATTTAAAAAATGCTCTTAAAAATGACTCATTTAATCTTGTTTTTATATTATGAAATCTTTAAAAGATGCAGAGAAATTTCAGGGATATAATAGCCATTGATAAATATACCATGAAGTTTTGTCAAATCTGAATTCTTTAAGACTCAGAATATAAAGCTGAATCCCTGGGTACCTCCCTCTCAACCTATGCTTTTTTTCCTCTCTTTTTTTTTTTTTTGAGACAGAGTCTTGCTCTGTCGCCCAGGTTGGAGCACAGTGGTGTGATCTTGGCTCACTGCAGCCCGTCTCCTGGGTTCAAGGAATTCTCCTGCCTCAGCCTCCTGAATAGCTGGGATTACAGGTGTGCACCACCACGCCCGGCTAACTTTTGGATTTTTAGTAGAGATGGAGTTTTCACCATGTTGGTCAGGCCGGTCTCGAACTCCTGACCTCGTGATCCGCCCGCCTCGGCCTCCCAAAGTGCTGGGATTACAGGCGTGAGCCACCGTGCTGGGCCTTTTCTCTCTTTCTTACCTCCCAGATGTAACCATGATTCCTAATTCAGTTTTTATATTTAACGTGTAGTTCTAGAGTTTTACTACTTACGTCTGTAAAGATGATAGTAGCTCACATTAATAGCCAGTTAATGTTTATGTGCTTTATGTATATTTTTCCACAGCAATCCTGTGAGGTAGGCTATTGTTTCCATTTTACATATTTAAAAATAAGGTGAAGAGAGTTAAGTGATTTGCCCTATGTCACACAGCTAAGACATAGAACACAGTTTTGACCCAGGCAGTTTGGCATGAGAGGTTGGGTCCATAACCATTGTGCTGCCTGGCCTCCCACATATAAACAATACAGAGGATTGATTTCCTTGTCTTAAAACTGTAATTGGCACACTTGTGTATCCTGTAACTTGCTTTTCCTCTCGTAACAGTCAACATTTTTGAGATTTATATATGTTAATTGTGGCTGTCATTGAAGTTTCATGTTACCCCCACAATTTATTCTTCCACAGTTTATTCTTTCTCGTATTGGTGGACATCAGGATTTTTCCAGGTGTTTGCTACTGCAGATAGGCTACAGTGAAATTGTTGCACATATTTTCTTGTACCACATAAGTGAGAGCTTCTCTAGGGTGTATGGCTTGAGCAAAAAATGGTAGGTCATTCATTAGGTATACACATCTGCCACTTTATTAGATACCTGAGTTACTCTTGAAAGCAGTTGTAGAGATTGCATTATTTATAGCAATGAATTCAAGTTCCAATTGCTTACCAGCCTTAGAAACAGTTGTTAATTTCTGACTCAGTTAACAGTTGTTAATTTTTGCTAATCTGAGGGCTATGAAATACTGAAGGTCATTGGACTTTTATTTTCATATTTTAGTGGTCATTCATGTTCCTTGTGAATTGCCTATTCATTTATTCCAAATTGATATATTTGGAATAATTTATTTTTCTTACCTTTTCTGTAGGAATTCTTTTTACCTTCTTAATACTAATCTTTTATTTTTTATAGTCATTACAGAAGTCTTTTAGTTTTTGGTATATTTTTTATTTTATGCCCTTTTTTAAAATTGAAATACAACAGAAAAATCCACAGATCATAAGTATATAGCTGTGGAAATGACCACAAAGTGATGGAAGTTTGTAGAGTTTTCATTATTTGAAAATTTCATGGCCACGTGTCTTACTTAGTTCATTGTACCAGATACTCAGTGGCTGACAACCATATCCCTACACCATTCTGTGAAATTTTCTTGAATTATACGGTGGTAATTTTCTCTAAGTTCCCAGTTTTACCTTTATGGAATTTATTGTTTTTGGATATTGAATTCTGGATGTTGGTCCCTAATTTTGTCTTTTTAAGTTGCTCATTTCTGCTTTTTACTCTACTTTCTGGGAGATTCCTTCAACTTTGTTTCACATTATTTATTTCTAGTATCTTTTTCCTCCACCGCTCTTGAATATCTTTATACTTCTCTTTGTTTTCCATTGTTCATGTTACACATATTGCCTTGATGGCTTTGCTGATCCTCAGTTGTCAGCTGATATTTAAGAGTGGAGGACTAAACATCTCATTGGAAGTTTGAGCATGTGGGTGGTGGGTCTTGATCTCCTTTGAAAGTTTTCACTATAGGATGATCTAGCAGGAACTTCCAATGGGTAGTCAGGATCATTTGGTTTTTCCTCTGGGGCAGTCACATTTTGTGAAGAATGCCCCAGTTTCCTGACTCTCTGGAGTGTGAAGGCCTGGCTCCTTCCATTCTGAAATCTGAGAGGCAGAAGACTTGGGTGGTGACTCATCCTGTGTGACTGTGCTCACGTGCTCACATAATCCTGTTTTCAATGTGGTGGGCTCACCCCTCATCTGTGCCTGTGCAGTCCAGCTCAGAGGTTCTTTTATCCTTTTCTGCAGAATAAGTCTTTGTATTTGTTGCTGGGTGGAGTTAGAGATCTGGGTATTTTACGAATCTGGATATGTGTTACTTCTTAAGCATTTTTAAACCACTCCCCATTTTAGCCCTCATCCCTCCTTCTGAAGACAGCTCACCTTTGGGGGAGTTTTGCCATGTAAGCCGGGTTACTTCTTGGCTCTTTTTGCTCCTGGCTTCGAATTTCATTTTCTCAGATCTGTTTTGTCATTTCCCATGCTGCCAATATTTTGTTGCTGTTATCCTCTTGCTTGTTTTCGCTGTCTTTGTGGGCTTGTCTCTTTTAAGGACCTTCCCTTTACCATTGTTTTAGTGGGATTGGGGAGGCAGAGAAAAGATTGATGTGTTCTGTTTACCATCTTTATCTGGAAGCCTTTCTTTTGCTTTCTTTCAAGCCTAAAGGATTTGTAAATATTTTATCCTGTACTTTTAGACAGTTTGTGGTGGGAGAATTTCAGGTTAGGTCTGTAATACTGCTCCTCATTAGATCTTCAAAATGGGCTTGTAAGGCATGCCATGCCTCTTGCAGATGAGGGAGCACTATTTAGAGAAGTTAAGTAAGGCGTGAAGTGTTATCACATAACTCTAAGTGATGGTGCTGGCACTGCATCTCAGGGTTTTCTGACTTTAACACTGACACTTACTCCACTGCGCTAGCTTTACCCACTCTTCCTCTAGCAATTTTATGGCATAGGGGTGGACTGTGTTTTCATTGAGAGCGCAATAAGCAAAGGACAAGACTTACTTTCTGCAGATTGTTTATGTCTTTACTCTTTTGTCCTGTTGCAGTGTAAGGAGAGGATGAGGCCTGTGAAAAAGGCACTGAAACAGCTTGACAAACCTGACAAGGGGCTCAATGTGCAAGAACAGCTGGAACACACCCGGAACTGCCTACTGAAAATCGGAGACCGGATAGCCGAGTGCCTTAAAGCCTACTCAGATCAGGAGCACATCAAACTGTGGAGGAGGTAACCACTTTGGCCTCGTCTGCCCCGTTTGATTTTACTGAGTGTGGGGGTGGATTCTGTTTTCTTTTAATAAAAGGTGGCATAGCCACCTAAGAAACCTTCTTCCCAACAAAACTCATCTGTTGGCAGTGTACCTGCAGGCTTTAACTTTCCTTTCCATGAAATAGGCTATTCCGCTGAGACCAGCCTTTTGAAGGGGTAGGATGATGTCATTAATTTATTTTATGAGAGAAAGATAGTGGTACTGGATTTGCTGGTCTGTTCTCAGAAATAAATTTTCTTTAAGCCTACAAGGGACAGAAATCATCTGGTCTTAACTACTTTACCCATCTCAGGTTGATATCCAGATATTCAGATATTACTGTATCTAATACAACTAATTGGTTGGTTCTGTACCAACACATGGTGAAACAGAGGTTAAAACCACAAGAACTTTGAGTTCTCTATTCTCATATCCTTCTTTAATAATTAAAGTAGTAATTTGGATTAAAGCAGTTAATCTAGAACCTCCCAGTGTTTAAGGCATCATGGTTTATAAATGTTCCTTTATATATCCACTTAAAATTTTTAAGAAGATTTCAGTAGTTTTAGGGAACAGGTGGTGTTTGGTTACATGGATAAGCTCTTTAGTGGTGATTTCTGAGATTTTGGTGCACCCATCACCCGAGCAGTGCACACTGCACCCAATGTGTCGTCTTTTATCCCTCAGCCTCCTTCCCCCCAGAGTCCATTATATCATTTTTATGCCTTTGCAGCCAATGTTTGGTTTTCCATTCCTGAGTTATTTCACTTAGAATAATGGTCTCCAGCTTCATTGAGGTTGCTGCAAATGCCATTATTTTATTCCTTTTTATGGCTGAGTAGTATTCCATGGTATGTATATACCACATTTTCTTTATACACTTGTTGGTTGATGGGCATTTAGGCTGGTTCCATATTTTTGCAATTGCAAATTGTGCTGCTATAAACATGTGAGTGCAAATGTCTTTTTCATATAATGACTTCTTTTCCCCTGGGTAGATACCTAGTAGTGGGATTGCTAGGTATATATCCACTATTCACTTTGGATATTTTAAGGAAACATGACTGGAAAATCTTTTTTTGTGTGTGTGTTAAATGAGACAGAGTCTGACTCTATCACTCTATCGCCCAGGCTGGAGTGCAGTGGCACAATCTTGGCACTGCAACATCCGTCTCCTGGGTAGCTGGGATTACAGGCACCTGCCACCACGCCTGGCTAATTTTTGTATATTTAGTAGAGATGGGGTTTTATCATGTGGACCAGGCTCTTCTCGAGCTCCTGACCTTAGGTGATCCACCCGCCTTGACCTCCCAAAGTGCTGGGATTACAGGCGTGAGCCACTGCGCCCAGTCATGGCTGGAAATTCTAAAAGGCAGTTGTAACATTAAATCTCTTTCCATTAATCACGTTACTTCGTCTTTATTTTGTTTTAGACTTAGAGGGTACATGTGCTTGTTTGTACATAACCACAGTTACTTTGAACTTGTATAGTTCATGGATAATGTGATTATCTTTGTATAATATGTCCAATCTCAGAGGACTGGTTTTTGAGTGAAAAGTGGATTTAAGAAAACTTCTGTCTGATGGTGTCCACAGCATGCTTCACCCCTATAAAAAAATTTAATTTTCAAAATGGTACTTTTTTCACCTTAACACTGTTGCCAGCTTCTTTCTTTACCTAGCGGGCATCTGGCCTTTTTTTTTTTTTTTTCTTTTTAAATTTAACACTGACTAGAAGATAGCAAAAGGTCATCCCACTGAACAGACTCATTTTTAAATGTGCCAGGCACTGTGATCTTGGCTAGCAGTAGTTTATAAGGTCCTCGCCCTTTACAAGTCAAAAAAGTAGTACAAGGCAAGCCTCTGGAGAAACTGTTCATCATGAGGCAGCAAATACAAGACCAGATAGAGTGGAAGGGCTGAGAAGGAAGTGCGTGAAGAGTAGTCAGGAAGGAAGGTCTTCTGAGAGGCAGGCAGGTGCACTTGAACTGAGCGTACATGACCTGAGTTGGATTGCTGAGATGAACAGAGTTCTCAGGCTTCAGCAAAGACTTGAAAGTGGGTCAGGGAGGGGACTGGGTGGTGTTTAGGGTTTAAAGAGAGTTTGTTAAAAAGACTGAAGCTCTTTATAGGAGGCTTTAGACAGGAAGGTAAGTGGCTCTTCACCTGACACAGCAGGCTTTCTAGTTAGGGAGCCTGTACAGGTGTCCTGTCAGCAGCAAGCCATGGTGAAACTGCCTGTTAGGAAGTTTGAGAAGATATGAGACTCCTTTATGGCGCTCACTGGGACTATCTGTGCTTACTCTTTGTAAACACCCATTTCATCATATCATTCCCCTATTGTGCGGAAACACCATGCTAGGGTGAACATAATGGAATTGGAGGGAAGAAGTCACTGAGAGTTTTAAGGAGTAAATGAAAGGGCATGGTGGCAACAACTGGGAGGAAGGAGGGGCAGTAACACAGAGATGACCGACTGAATGGAGGCCACAACTTGGGAGATAGTCGTGCTGATGGATTTGTGGTAGAGTCCAGAAAATGAAGGAAAACTTAAAGGACTGGAGTCCGGGGTGTCACTGATATAAAATCAGAGGAGTTTTAGGTACTGACAGAGCCTTAGTCTCTAAATCCCTCTGTCATACTATTTTGGCAGAACCATATAAAGGTGTACAGTAAGTCCTCAAATAACATTGTTTCCTTCAGCTTTGTTTCATTGTAACATTGATGAGAAAAAAAATTGATTTTGTTTCACTTAAAGTTGCAGTTTCTAAGAACCTATTGACAACATTAAGTTAGACTTACTGTATTATTAACACAAATACCTGAAATAATATTTCTGTAATTTAATTTCTATGCTTAGGGAATATACCACAGCAAAATTTATTAGCTTGCCATCCATGAAGATAATAAAAAATTGCTTTTCTAATTCTATAATTCACCAGAACTATTCATTTTTCTTTTTAGGAACCTATGGATTTTTGTTTCCAAGTTTACAGAATTTGATGCTCGAAAACTGCATAAGTTATACAAGATGGCTCATAAGAAAAGGTCTCAAGAAGAGGAGGTAAAGTACAAATGCAATCCTAATTCATACAAACAAATACCAATTCCACAGAAAAATCTCTTAATTATTATTTTTCCACAGGGAGATGGTCACAGAATCATGGGTTATTGCTAGTGCTAATAATCAGATTGCTAGTGCTAAACAATCAGACCAGATGGGTGAAATAGCCAATGTATTGGAGCCTAACATTGTTGAAATTCTGACAAAGAGTGTTTACCCTGTGTTTTTATGTCCTAGAATCATTTGTTCACCAGGTTTTTTCTTCCATGTGCATTTTTCTTCTGTACATGTCTTATGGTAGCTTATAAATGTGGCTCCTAGGAAGTAATAGGGTGGTGGGCAGAAAATACTTTTTCTCTTCTTTTCTGGACCATCTGCTTGGTGTCCTTCCAGCTTTTGTATGGAAGGGGTCCTGCTATTCACTTGTGAGAGGTGCTTAGAAGTTGCCTCTCCTCTGGAGTAGGGGGATAGGTGCAAAAGTGAAATGGAGGAGGCTGCAGAGGCAATGCTCCTTGTGTGGGTGTGCCCATTTGCATATCTGCTGACTCGCCACATGGGCTGTACCCAAGCTGGACATTTGGTTCAATCTGTGAGCATTAAATACCACCTCCACTAATGTGTCAGCTCCATGAAGGCAGAGATTTTGTGTCTCTCATCTACTGCTCTGTCCTCAGCACATAGAATGGAATAGAATGGTGCTGGGGACAGGGAGGTATTTGTTATGCTGTGCCCAGTGCTGTGTTGGCCTGTGAAGCAGCACCCTCAAGTAGTTTATAATTTAATTTTACATGGAAGAATATGTTATAGCAGTAACATACAGGAATCATATACTAATAAGCATTATAAAAAGTCTATAAAAGGATAGTCAGGAAAGGCCCCGGAGGGAATGGAATAGTTAGGAAAGGCCCTTTAGAAGGGAGTGAAAATTAGGAAGAGGGACTGAAGTTGGACACATAATAATGAAAGACTTCACTCATTTAGGGATCAGAAATGAGTATAAGTTGAATAACAAAAATGGTGATATCCTAATAGTGGGAGTATACATTGTCACAACCTTTCTGGAGGAGAATTCAGCAAGATTTATTAAGACTAAAGCATGCAGTTTTGCTTCTAGGAATTTAGTTTGAGAAGGAGATAGAGATTTAAACATGTTTATAATGGAAATTACTTGGAAGCCCAGCAATAAGAAATACATTCAGTGTGTCCAGGCATGGTGGCTCATGCCTGTAATCCTAGCACTTTGGGAGGCTGAGGCGGGGGTGGATCACTTGAGGCCGAGAGTTCAAGACCAGCCTGTCCAGCGTGATGAAACCTCATCTCTACATAAACTACAAATATTAGCTGGGTATGGTGGCACATGCCTGTAGCCCCAGCCCCTCAGGAGGCTGAGGTGGGAGGATTGCATGAGACCAGGAGGTGGAGGTTACAGTGAGCTGAGATTGCGTCACTGAACGCCTGCCTGGGCAACAGAGTGAGATTCTGTCTCAAAAAAACAAAAAACAAAACTCAGTAGTTCATGATATATCCATATTGGGAAGTACTAATCAATCATTAAACATAATATTGTAGAAATAAGTATTTACATGGAAAGACTTATATATTAAGTGAAAAATGAATGCCAAATATTTTTGTTTAAAAACCTCTATATAAATACAAAAAAAAAGCTTAAAAAATATGTGCCAAATTATTAACAGTAATTCCCTTGCTGGTTAGGTTTTAGATCACTTTATTTTTTTTATTTTGTGATTTTTTTTTTTATATCAAACATTTGACTTGTGTAATAAGGAAGAATGTTACTCCAACATTCAGATATTTAGCTTGATGACTTTGGCTTAGGAGTTAGTTCCCACTGGACAGTGGCGGGTTTTTTGTTGCGGTTAGCCTTGGAAAGTTGGTAATCTTGGCTTTACATGGTCCAAGATGATCCTCCGAGAGTGCCGCCAGCCTGGGCACCTGTACAGTGCCCTGTACAGTGACATCTAGCGGTGCATGCATGTGTTCTTGCAGGTACTTAGGAGTGATGGTCCAACTCAGCATAAATTCCACTGAGTTCCCCCAACAAATAGCCTAACAGTGGAATTCATGAGCGTTTTTTGGTTAGGAGGTAGTGAATGGCAGTTCAAAAGTTAAGAAGGACAAGAGGGAGCTATTTAGAGGTGATAGCCTTTATTCTTCTTTGGGGAATTAAGCCTGGGATCTTGAGCTTCTTTGGTTTCCTTTTACTCTTTAGGAGCAAAAGAAGAAAGATGACGTGACTGGGGGTAAGAAACCATTTCGTCCAGAGGCCTCAGGCTCCAGCCGGGACTCTCTGATATCTCAGTCCCATACCTCACACAACCTTCACCCTCAGAAGCCTCATTTGCCTGCCTCCCATGGCCCACAGATGCATGGACACCCAAGAGATAACTACAATCACCCCAACAAGAGACACTTCAGTAATGCAGGTAGGTCATTAAGTGGAGTTTTTAAAAGAGGTGCCAAAAAATAAAAAATTCACATAGCCGTTTCATTTTCCAAAGACAGTGGCTGGACTGTTATGCTTTATTTTCTTCTAACACTTTATTGTCCTCTCTTTTCTTAATGAGAGAAAGCATGAAATAAAGATCCCCCCAATTTTTTTGTTTGTTTGTTTGAGACTGGGTCTCGCTCTGTCACCCAGGCTGGAGTGCAGTGGCTCACTGCGACCTCCACCTCCTGGGTTCAGGCGATTCTCATCCCTCAGCCTCCCGAGTAGCTGAGATTACAGATGTGCACCACCACGCTCAGCTAATTGTTAAATTTTTAGTAGAGACAGGGTTTTGCCATGTTGGCCAGGCTGGTCTCAAACTCCTGGCCCCATGTGATCTGCCCACCTCAGCTTCCCAAAATGCTGGGATTATAGGTGTGAACCACTGCACCTGGCCCCAGGACTATTATTTAAGCTTCAGATTAAGAAGAACCCAGCTAACATGAACAAACAAAAAAGACTGAGGGAGAAGTTTACATTCTGTATGGCCGTTAAATGGTTAAAACTGCTAATATTGAAAGAGCTCTTGTAAATTGAGAATAAAACAATAACAATAGAAAAATGGGCAATCAGTAGCGTGAGGAGACAGTCTGTGTAAGGGGAGAAAATATACCAACCATACATCTGATAAGGGGATAATATCCAAACTGTATAAGGAACTCAGCTCCTTATGTAGCAAGAAGGCAAATACTCGATTGAAAAGTGGGCAAAGGACCTGAATAAACATTTCTCAAAAGAAGACATACAAATGGCCAACAGGTATATGAAAAAATGTTCAACATGACTAATCATCAGGGAAATGCAAATTAAAACCACAATATCAGTTCACACTTGTTAGGATGGCTGTTACCAAAAAGTCAAAAGATAAGGGTTGCCACGGATGTGGAGAAAAGGGAACCTAGCACATTGTTGGTGGGAATGTAAGTTAGTATAGCCATTATGGAAAACAATGTAGAGATGCCTCAAAAAAAATCACAGATAGAACTACCATATTATCCAGCAGTCCCACTACTGGGTATACATTCAATGAAAATGAAATTAGTTACGTTGAAGAAATATCTGCACTTACATATTCATTGCAACATCATTTACGATAGCCAAGATATGGAATCATCCTAAGTGTTCATCAGCAGATGAACGGATAAAGAAAATGTATATATACACAATCAAATAGTATTCAGCTTTAAAAAGAAGGAAATCCTGTCGTTTGCAACAACATGGATTAATCTGGAGGACATTTATGTTAAGTGAAATAAGAGAGGCACAGAAAGAGAAAAACTGCATATTCTCACTTATATATGGAATCTGAAAAAGTCAAACTCATAGAAGCAGGGAGTAGAACAGTAGTTACCAAGGTTGGAGGTCAGGGGAGAATTGGGAAGACATTAACAACAGAGATAAAATTTCAGATATGAGGAATAAGTTGAGAAATCTGTTGTGCAACATGGTGACTGTAGTTAATGTATTATATTTTTGAAAATTGCTGGGAGATTTTAAGTGTTCTTGCCACAAAAAATAAGTGCGTAAGGTAGTGCATATGTTAATTAGGCTGATTCAGCTATTCCATAATGTATAGGTATTTTAAAACATTGCGTTGTAATCGATAAATATATACAATTTTTAATTGTCAATTAAAAATTTTTTACAGCCTGGGCAACATAGATTCCATCTCTAAAAAGTGCGAAAATTAGCTGGGCATAATGGTGTAGTAGTCCCAGCTACTTGGCAGGCTGAGGTGGGAGAATTTCTTAGGTCTGGGAGGTAGAGGTTGCGGTGAGCCAGGATTGCACCACTGCATTCCAGTCTGGGCGATAGAGTGAGACACTGTCTCAAAACAAAACCAAACAAAAATTGCAGTTTTGAAACAAAACTCACAGGAATCCATATTGAATTAAAATTTTGGAAATTCGATTAGAAAAAGTTAACTCTGTAGAGCTTATCCATTGTTTTAAAACAAAATGAGCAAAAGTTATGAATTAGTTCATATAAAAGAGAAAATTCAAATGGCCAATATGTGACAAGATGACCAACCTTGCTACTAGGGAAATATAAATTAAAGCAACAATAGGTTAACCAATTTTTTTACCTATTCAGATCATCAAAAATTGAAAAGGGAAATACACACCAATTGCTAAGAAAGTGAAAAAATAACCTTTTCAAAAATAATCTGGAAACCCACTCTGCAGGTTCTCTGTTCCTCCAGCAGTGGTCCGTGCCTGGGAAAGACCCAGATCCTTAGCGTCTTGCTGGTGCTCAGGATCACAGATCTCTTCAGTGGTGACAGAAGTCATCTCTTATATCTGAGGTTTTCTGCTCTGTGGAATCTTAGTCCTTCTAGTCCTCATTGCCTTAGCTGCTTTTTGATGCCTTTAAACTTTTTTTTTTTTTTTTTCCCGGAGGAAATGGAGTCTCTCTCTGTCACCCAGGCTGGAGTGCAGCGGCATGATCTCTGCTCACTGCAACCTCCACCTCCCGGGTTCAAGCGATTCTTCTGCCTCAACCTCCCGAGTACCTGGGATTACAGGCACACACCACCATGCCGGGCTAATTTTTTTTTTTCTTCTATTTTTAGTACAGACAAGGTCTTACCATGTTGGCCAAGCTGGTCTTGAATTCCTGACCTCAAGTGATCCATTTGCCTCGGCCTCCCAAAGTGCTGGGATTACAGGTGTGAGCCATTGTGCCTGGCCTTAAACACATTCTTTTTAATCTTCCCTTTCTCATTGTTTTTGGCAGGATGTAATTCTGCTACAAGCTACCCTGCCTGGAAGCATAAGTTCTATGTTCTGTAATCTTAAAAATCTGAGTTCAAAATTATTTCATCACCATTTTGTTGAGGGGAAAAACAGGTAATGACTTTGCAGAATGATTGGGAAATGTTTCCCTGTTCTTAGACCTAGTTGCATTAGTTATACTGGCTTTTTTTCTAGTATTAGGCTGTTTCTGTGTTTTTCATATGATGTCACTTATTTTATATTCTGAATCCTTTAAAATAACTTCTTACTAAATGCATTCTTTTATTTAAACTTTGGATTCCTCACCCATCTTTTTAATAGCTCAGTACTTTGTAACCTGTGATTTACCTCACAGAAGGTTTAAGAAGAAAGAAAATCTGTTTGATTTACTCTGGAAACAATGAATTAGCTTGAGTTTTAAACATCTCTACAAAACCACAGATATTGATATCCTGTTAGAAATCTCATTTGATTTGAAGCCATCTTCAAGTGATCCTTTGCATGTTTAGAAGGTGTCTCTTTTTGATGTTATTTGTTAATTCTTAGGGTGAATAGTCAAAAGTTTTTTACTTCATGGCACTCTCATCTGATTTACCCAGATCAGCAATGAATTTAAGCCACTGGTTGACTGTACATCCTGTTAATGCTACCAGTTTCTAAGCTGGCACTTCCTTAATGGTGTTATTCTTCAGCTCTGTAGAAAAAAGCTAGAAGGCCAGCAAAATGAGTAGAGACATTTATTTGGTAGCATGTCTTTGATCTTAACATAATTATAGACAGAAGGTGGATTTTTCCGTGAGGTCATAGGTTCCTTTTGGTTAGTCCTCTGTATTAGTTTCCTAGGGCCGTGTATAACAAAGTACCACAGACTAGGTGGCTTAAAACATCAAACATTTCTTTTCTCACATTTCTGGAGACCAGGAAGTTTAAAAATCAACGTGTCAGTAGAGTTGGTTCCTTCTGGAGGCTCCGAGGGAGAATCTGTTCCGTGCCTCTCTTCTGTCTTCTGGTGGCTACCAGCAGTTCTTGGTGTTCTTAACTCATAGGTGCATCATGCCGATTTCTGCCTCCATCTTTGCATAGCCTTCTATGCATAGCCTGTCATATCTCCCTCTGCCTTTACTTTGAAAGGATGCCTGTCCTGGAATTTATAGCCCAACCTAAATTCAGGGTGATCCCATCTAGAGATTTTTAACTTAATTACATCTGCAAATACCTAGGTAAAATTTTTTCACACTCACAGGCTCTGGGTGGACATGATATTTTGGTAGCCATAATTTAACTCTCCATCCCTGGACTTCTGTGTCCTCACTACATTTTCTGATTCAAGTATGATTCTTTTCCTTAGGAGAAAAGGCAGGCTACAGAAGGTAAAAGGATTGTAGTTTGGCCTTATCCTTAAGAGACAGAACACTGATCCAAGCTCAAATTACTTTTTTATAGGAGGAGGTCCATTTTTGTGTGTGTGCAGAATAGGGAAGAATAATAGAATCAGTGAGTGTAGTCTGGAGAGATTTTCAGAGACCAGGCACAGCAGGTACCAGCAGGTGAAATAAACATTAGATGTATAACCAGAGGATATTACCTTGCAGCTGTGAAACTCAGCAGTATCATTTTTTGAATTAGTTTGGTTTCGATGTTAAGAGTTTGCCACAGATTGGAAGGTTAAACAGGTATGGAGAGTGAAAAGTGGTAGTTCTTAAAATTTCAGAAGGAGAGGAGTAGTAAATTTTGCCTTAAAATCTTGTTGGAAAGAATGTTTAGGAGTCATTACTGATATGTTAGCAGCAACAAGACCAAGAAGAAAGAGATTTAATGTCTGTTTATAACGTGTCAGACTTTCAGTTGGAACTTCAGCAAAGTAGTGCTTATTTCAGCAGCATACCTAAGGAAATTGGAACAATACAGAGAAGATTGGTATGGAAGAAAACAAAAATAAAAAATAAAGCTGGGCGTGGTGGCCCACAGCTGTAATCCCAGCATCTTGGGAGGCTGAGGCGGGCAGATTACCTGAGGTCAGGAATTCGAGACCAGCCTAGCCAACCTGGTTTAACCCTGTCTCTACTAAAAATTCAAAAATTGGGCAGGCATGGTGGTGGGTGCCTGTAGTCCCAGCTACTCGGGAGGCTGAGGCAGGAGAATTGCTTGACCCAAGAGGTGGAGGTTGCAGTGATCTAAGATCGTGCCACTGCACTCCAGCCTGGGCAACAGAGCAAGACTCCATTTCAAAAAAAAAAAAAAAAATTGTAGTGAAAGTGAAATTCATCCATTTCTTGCAGTTGTCAGATCATTCTTTTCTTTTCCTGCAGATCGAGGAGACTGGCAGAGGGAAAGAAAGTTCAACTATGGTGGTGGCAACAACAATCCACCATGGGGAAGCGACAGGCACCATCAGTATGAGCAGCACTGGTACAAAGACCACCATTATGGGGACCGGCGACATATGGATGCCCACCGTTCTGGAAGCTATCGACCCAACAACATGTCCAGAAAGAGGCCTTATGACCAGTACAGCAGTGACCGAGACCACCGGGGACACAGAGATTATTATGACAGGTATGCAAAAGGCTGTGAGACACCAGGTGCCCATCTTTGCCAGGAGCTGTTTCTAGGGAGAAAGTGATGTATACCTGAATGTATTTATCTATGAAATGACTGGAGATCTCATCATGTGTCAGCCACAGGGAATCCCATGTGTTGGTTATAGGTTTTATGTTTTATTTTCTGGGTCATAGGGAGCACATTTCACCTGTGAAGGAAAAGAGTTTTCTGCCGTCTTCTGAGGAAATCAAGTCAAGTGGTCGCCATAAAATGTTGGAGTCAGCAACCAAAATTATTAAGCTCTGTGCGAGGCTGTCAGCCACACTAGGTGTCAGGGATCCCAAGATGGGTACCAACCCATGGTCCTTACCTGCCACGAGCCCATAATTGAAGAGTTGAAGCCTTTCGAAGCTGCACCCTCTTTCCTTCAGTACAATACCACCGGTAGTACGATGAGTCAGAGCTTTACATTGTGAGAGTAGCAAGTCCAGGGAGGGTTAAAGAGGTTTTATCTGTATTTCCTAATTTCAAATCTTGGATAATTTAACCTCATAGCAGCTTTGGTTTTCCCTGGGCTGATGATGTGCATCATTTGCACTGTGCCTTGAATTTAAAGTGGGAAAATTTCATAGACATGTCTCAAAGTCCTGCTTTGTTTTTGGAAGAACTGGTAACAGCAGGCTGTATTAGCAGAGAGCTATAGCTGAGTAGCCGCCACCTCCTTAGGAGTCTGCCCCTCACTCCCACCCTTCTCTGTTGTCTGGACCCAGTGGGCACTTGCCCTGCATTCCTCTAGTAGGTCTGTATTTCTCTTTGGTTTCACTTTTCTTTTGCCTGAAGGACTTTTTCTGCTGGTGATAAATTCTTTCAGTGTTTGTATGTATGCCTGAAAATGTATTTTGCCTTCATTTTTGAAAGCAGTTTTTGCTGAGTATACATTTTTATTTTTAGTTTCTTTCAGTACTTTAAAGATATACCTCTGCTATTTACTTGCATTGTTTTGTGATGAAAAATCTGTCATCCTTATCTTTGTTCATCTTTACGTAATGTTCCTTTTAAAAAAATCACTGATTATGATGTTCCTTGGTGTATTTTTCTTTGGTTTCTTGTGCTTGGAAATTTTTGAACTTCTTGAATCTGTAGGTTTATTGTTTCCATAAAATTTGGCAATTTTTACAGTCTTCTTCGAATATTTTTTCTGACCCCCTACTCTCTCTTGTATTCTGTTGACTTTTTAAAAATTATGCTTTCTCTGTGTTTCATTGTGGATAGTTTCTATTGCTACCTCTTCAAGTTCACTAATATGTTGCTTTTCAATGTCAAGACTGCTGTGAGGCCCATCCAGTGTACTTTGTATTTTATACATTGTAGTTCTATCTCTAAAAGTTCGAAAAGTTGTATTTGGGTCTATATATATATTATATATACACGCACACACATATATTATTTATTTATTTATATATATATATGTTCTGTCTCTAACCTTTTAAAACCTGGAACACAGATATAACGATGGTTTTGATGTCCTTGTCTGCGAATCTTACCACTTGGGTCAGTTTCAGTTGATATCTCCTCACTGTGGGTCTTGCTCCCTGGTGCTTTCCGTGCCTAGTAATTTTTGATCAGATGACAGATGTAACATTTACCTTATTGGGTGCTGGATATTTCTGTATTCCTGTAAGTATTCTGGGAGCTTTGTTATGAGTTGCAGGTTATTTGGAAGCAGTTTCCTTCTTTCAGGTCTTGCTGTTAAGATTCGTTAGGTAGAACCAGAGCATTGCTCAGTCAAGGGCTAATGATTGCCCACCCCCAAGGTGAGGAGCCTCATTGCACTCTACCCAATTGTGTTAGTCTGTTTTGCGGGAATACCTGAGGCTGGATAATTTATAAAGAAAAGAGTTTTACGTGGCACACAGTTCCGCAGGCTGTACAAGCATAGCACCAGCATCTGGTTAGCTTCTGGAGAGGCCTCAGGGAGATTTTACTCATGGTGGAAGGCGAAGTGGGAGTAGGTGTCCCATGGCAAGAGGGAGCAAGAGAGAGAGGAGGAGGTGCCAGCCTCTTTTAAAGCACCAGCTCTCACATGAACTCAGAGAACTCATTATCACAAGGACAGCACCAAGCCATTTATGAGGGATCTGCCCAAACACCTCCCACTACAACATTGGAGGTCACATTTCAACATGAGATTTGGAGGGGACACATACCCAAACCATATCACCAGTGCCTCTTTAATCTGGAGGTCTTTGGTGTGACTGGTGGCAACAGGCATGATGCCAGTTCTTTGTGAGCACAAGGCACTATTATCTTTAGTCTTTTTGAGTGGTTTTTTCCCTGGCCTTGGGTAGTTTACCCACATGCACATCCTAAGCAGTATTCAGCTATATACTTGGAAATCCTCTGTAGATCTTCAAACTTCTTTCTCTGCAGAACTGTCTTCTCTCATGCCATGTCCTATGAACTCTGGCCACCTTGGTTCCCCATCCCTCACCTTGGGAAGACAACTGGTGTCTTTCTGGGTTTCCTTCTTCCTGTGTCACAGACTGAGAACTATCTCATGATAGTGAGCAGGAGCAGTTAAAAGGCTCATTTCATTAGTGTCCATTCCTCAGGGATCACTGTTATTGCCTGATGTCTGGTGTCTTGAAAACCACTGTTCTATACGTTTTGTCCCTTTTGGCTGTTTCAGGCAGGAGGGTAAATCTAGTCCCTGTTGTTCCATTTTGACTGGAACTTGAAGTTGCTCAATTCTTCCTCCCTCTCTTTCTTGCATTGAGGTGAAATTCATATTACTTAAAGGAACTATTTTAAAGCGAACAATTGAATGACCTTAGTGCATTTATAATATTGGGCAGCCACCACTTCTGTCTAGTTCCAAAACACTTTCATCACTCAAAGAAAACCCTATAACCATTAAATAATCCTTCCCCATTATTCCCTCTCCCCAGCCTCTGGCAACCACCAGTTTGCATTCTATCTCCCTGGATTTGCCTATCCTAGACATCTCATGTAGAAAGAGTCATACAATATGTGACCTTTTGTGTCTAGCTTCTTTCACTTAGCATAATGTTTTCAAGGTTCATTCATATGGTAGGGTTCATTCATCAGTACTTATTCCATCTTATGACTGAATAATATTTCACTGTATGGATATGCCACATTTTGTTTATCCACTCATCTGTTGATGGACATTTGAGTTGTTTCCATCTTTGGGCTATTGTGAATAATGCTGCAGTGAAGATTGGTATATAGGTACTTGACTACCTGTTTTCAGTTTTGGATATGGACCTAGGAGTGGAATTGTTAGTCATATTCTTTACATTTTTAGGAAACACCAAAATGTTTTCTACGATGGCTGAACCATTTTACATTCCTACTAGCAATGTATAAGAGTTGAAGGTTTTCCTTATCTTTGCCAACACTTATTTCCTGTTTTTTTGTTTTGTTTTGTTTTTTGTTTTGTTTTTGTTTTTTTAGTGAATGTAGCCATCTTGATGGGTGTGAAGTAGTCTCATTGTGGGCTTGAATTTGCATTTCCCTAATGATTAATGATATTGAGCATCTTTTCATGGTTTTTTTTGGCCATTTGTATATCTTCTTTGGAGAAATGTCTATTCAAATCCTTTGCCTGTTTTTGAGTTGGGTTGTTTGTTTTTGTTGTTGAGTTTTACTAATTTTTTTTTAATGGTATCATGAGTAGTTTACCATGGTCCAAGCTAAAAATTTTAATACTGTTCACACTGAGTTGATTTTTAAGATAATTTTATTAACTAGTTACTTACTTGTTGCATATTTAGGTTGATGGTGTTATTAGTAACTTACAAAATAATTTCTGTGGCTCTTTTTCTCATGGGCTGGGTCCAGGAATATGGAAATGTTTATGGATCTTACCAGATTTTTCCTAAAGGGAGTGAGTTTGCAAAGCCATCAGTGATTTTTCAAGTGTGTACTTGTGTCACTGCACACTTGAGGCTTATTTCATAGGATGTGTTTTGCTATTAAGTGTAAAATGACTCTTTGTTATTAATGTTTTTGATTCCTGATAATGTGAGCATTTGTGCTTGAGTCCGTTTGTAAGTGTCCTTGAATACGAGTATATGAGGAAGAGCCAAGTGGGTGGTAAAGAGAAGTAGATGAGAATTTGGCTTCAGTCTTTCGAATAATTCTTGCATCTCTATTTCAGGCACCATCATGACTCCAAGCGGAGGAGATCCGATGAATTTAGGCCTCAAAATTACCACCAGCAGGATTTCCGACGAATGTCTGATCACCGCCCCCCTATGGGCTACCATGGCCAGGGACCCTCAGACCATTACCGCTCTTTCCACACAGACAAACTAGGGGAATATAAACAGCCTCTACCCCCACTGCACCCTGCAGTCTCAGATCCTCGCTCACCCCCTTCTCAGAAATCTCCTCATGATTCCAAGTCACCCCTGGATCATAGGTCTCCTTTGGAGAGATCATTAGAACAGAAAAACAACCCAGATTATAACTGGAATGTTCGGAAAACATAAAGGACAGCTCGTAAAGGAGAGAGTAAGAGTCACCAAACACGTGGATATTTTTGGTCTGATCCTACAGTAGCCAGTTATCTAGACCAGTAAGTGGAGTTTCGGACACGCTGCTGCTGTCAACTCACTGGCTGAAGGAGCACTTCAAGGAATGGGAGGCCTTTCACTGGGTCCAGCTCTGATTTGGGTCACCACTCCTGCACTTTGGCAGCCCATCCCATTCCAGCCTGGTTCTGGCCTCCCACTTTGATGGGCACTTGAAGGAGGAGCTGACTTTGTGTATACCAGCTTCACTGGGATGTGTTTCCCCAGTCAAGGAATAGGGGATCTTCAGAGTCATGAATGTTTTCTTGCCAGGGTCAGTGTTCCCAGGACCTTAGTGTGTCATTGGGGCAGGAACTGGTGCATGGAGGCTGCTGGGACCTGATGTTACAGTGTGTGATTTGGTTGATTTGGTTCACTCTGACATGTTGGATGCTGCTGATGGGGAGTGGGGAGTTGGGGCAAGTGGGTGGGGACAAGCATAGGACTTGAAGGGGAGCAGGTACACCCCTCACATGTGTTCTTGGGAGAAAAAACTCGGCCTCATTATGTGAAACCTATGGGCAGGGTTGGGGTGGGGAAGTAGAGAGAGGGCAACAGCTTCCACAACTGCTTTATCTCTGCCAACACTAATTTTTCCCACACTGTCTTTGTACATTTCAGAGGTTTGGTCTCCTGAGTGGGCCTCCTTTCCCCACTGTGCCGGGGAAAGTAGGTCGCTCTGGATGACTTTTGAGTACTGTGAGTTAGGCAACACTGACTCCAGCATGGGTCTTACTTGACTGGGGAGTAGGCTGAGTGAGAGGTAGGGTGGGATAGGGTGGGGAGTAGTGTGGCCAGAGAACTGGAATCCCTGGTGGATTTCTGATTCCTATGGTGAGAAGGAAAACTACAGGACCTGGAGAAGGGGATGCAGAGGCAGGCCTGCTGACCAATTTGTTGCTGGCAATCACAAAGGTGGGGGTCCTGGTGCAGGCAGTGAACAGGCTTCTAATGTGGGGTTCAGTAGTGCCAGCAAGTGGGGGAAACTTTCAGTATTGGGCTAGGTCAACACTTCCTGCTGCTTTTTCCTTCCCTTTGCACAGCTTGAAGAAATAGATTGGACGGAATCACACATCATGTGGTGGGCAGATGGAAATAAGTACCTGTGGTGAACAAGTTTTACTGTAGTTGGAGATCATTAGAATTGAATTCAGTTTCTCTTAGAATATAATCAGGTATAGACCTAAGTTAAACTTTTTCCCAAACAGGGAGCATCCAAAGACACAGTGACTTGAGCTATAGATAGTAAGAATCATACTAGAGTTGAACTGAGTCAGGTTTAGGAAGCAAGTTGGTTGCATCAGTTAAGCAGGCTCTTTTCAATTTACTGATGCTGGGGCCTTCAGTTTATCAGTCTCAGTGTAGCTTGCCAGTATTGTTAAAGTATCCAAAGGCCTTTCTAGATGGAGACAGAATAACTGACTTGAACATACAGTGTGCCTGTAAGTGTCCAGGCTCAGAGCTGGTGAAAACCCCTCTGTTAGGCATGTGCAGCGTTAAACTCCCTGAAGTAACTTGTGAGGACTTCAGTGCTTGCTGGTGTTCTGGGCAGCACCGTGAATGCCTTTACCAAGACATGCTGAGTTGTATCCCCCAAATGAAGCAGATGTGGCTGTGATGTGGCCCTTGCTCCCTGCTACACAGAGCATTGCAGGAGTGGCCTGTGCGGTTTCCAGATGAGGGTCCGGGTCCTGGAAGCTTGTATTGAGAGCTCAGTGGACCCACCCCACTTATTGAACCCTCATAGTTGTTGGGGTTGTTCAGCCTGGACTTGTAGCACACATGCCCTGAAGCAAAGCCCTGGTGACTGCATGAGCCACCTGACCACAGTCCTCCCATGGAGGGCCTGCTGTGACGCTCAGTGGAGAGGGCAGGGCATGTGTCTCTACTTAGGCCACACAGTGATAAGGAAACCACAGATGGAGCTTCTTGCTGATAATATTGACTCTAGCCCACGTTTGCCTTGCCCAAGCCAAAGAGGAAGGTTAGGTTGGCTTGTCAAGCCCTTGAGCAATGGGAGATGGGGTGGGAAGGGGATGAGCCCCTGCAGAGAGTTGAGTCATGTCCTCCAGGAATGAAAGGAGGGGCAGTGGAGTCACCAGAGGCCCTGCATTTCCATCAGGGTTTCCACAGTCATCAGGGCTTCTCTCGAGTCGCTGGTAGATGTGAGTTATGCCCAAAGATGTCTTATCATGAGGAAAAAGGAACTTCCTTTTGTTCACATTCAGGACTGACTGTTAGTGCCATATGAAGTAGCAAAAGGCAGTATCAGCCAGATCAGTGTTACATTGATTGTAAAATTACAGTGTCCCCATTAGACAACTGTTTTAGGTGCTGAAGTATGTTTGAAGAGTGTTGGGAAAAAGGAAGCATTTCGTCATCGATTTAAATCAATATGAATATTATATGCTTAAATAAAAAACAAATTTGCACAGGTAAATTCTCTCACTTGTGAATGGGAGAAGCTGCCCCAGGAATCTGTGAGGATGGTATTCCCTGGAGCCTGGCTTTGAAAGATTTCGTTGTTGGTAGAAATAACAGGGGTTGAGGAAGAGGGATTTAGCATCACCTAAAACCTGCACGTGAATAAGGGTTGACATCATACACTATGGCCTTAGAAAAGGGCCACATGAAACCCCAAGCTAATCACTGCGGTCTTTCAGAGCCGGACAGACAGGTGCCAGCAGAGCCCGGGGCTCGCTCTCCTTTCAGTCATTCCTTAGCCCTTCAAAGGGAAGCCCAAACACTTTGCACGCTGTGCTGCAGACATTCTGGCCTGGTGTGTCTGAAAGTTGCATCAGTCCTCATGGTGCAAACACGGTTCATTTAGGAAGTCACATAATGACACTGAAATCCTACAGACCAAAATCCACTTGTCAGCAGGAGCAGCAGCCCAGGCCCAGCACCAGCGGTCTTCCGGCTCCTCTGAGGGCTGCCATGTTGGGCGAGGGGAGCCATGCCAAGGGTCCAGGCTGCTTTAGGCCATCTATGCCCCACTCATCTGGGGACAGATGGTTTTTCTTTCTTGTAAAATTGTGGACTTTTAAAACCTGTTGACTAAACAGTAATTAATTTATATTTGTGAAAAATGCCACTGTCCTAGTGATTTCTGATGTAAATAATGTTGTTTATATAGTATGTATTAAATTTTCCTACATTGTAAAACTGCTGTACTTTTGATTCTTGTATATTAAAAAGTGTTACTGAGGATTTCTAGAATTGGGCTAACACGTTGCATTGCATTGTGGTGTGAGCTGTGTGACTAGCGATACCTCCTTGTCTCCCTTCCCTTGGTTGCTGGGTCACATCCAGATTTTTTGACAGCTTGTGAAGTGGAGCCTTTTAAAGTTGCATTTCCCTCTATCCAGGAGCAGTTGCATTGTTGTGTACAAGCCTTAACACCACAGATATCTAAGCTATTCCTGAGTATGCTGTTGCTGAGGTGAACAGCTCCCTGGCCGACTCCAGGCCATGGCCCACAAGTCTGCACTTGAGGGAGGACCCTAAGTTGCCGAAACTGGTAGTTAATTCCTGTGGGTTAGTCCTGCCTGGGAGGATCCAGGGAGACCTAGTGGGGCCACCCCCTCTATCCTGTAGGAAATAACGCTGTCTGCCAGCCTGTAGCTTTGAGGGTAATTTAACAGATGGGGTCAGGGGGGTGGCATTTTATAATGGAAACACTGACACACACGTTAGCTCTAGCATTCTGGCACGGGCAGGCCCAGCCCTGGCACAGCCCAGACAGAGGAAGGGTGGCACAGCCTGCGGGCGGAGATCTGTGTCTGAATAGGGGTTGAAGTTTGCCCAGATCCACGATTTTCACTGATGTTTTGGTGACTTTGAGACTAAACTAAATCCCTATGAAACTCTTCAATCTTGATACCAAATAAGCCATGTGTCTACTCAGAGCTGAGGGGTCAACTCCTGTGACAGCTCTGTCAGCCCAGGGGACTTGGATGCAGGGGCCCTTGCCAGGCCTGGCCTGTGCTGGAGCCGGAGGCTGGGATTTTTAGTTCACGTAGTTCTTGAGAAAGACAAGAAAAGCTGAGGGCTCTTCGTGCCCATAAAGAAACAACTCACAATCATGTTGTAACTCATGACTCAGCTGGAACGATTTGGGGAAACTTTAAGAACAAGTACTGCAATAATCAGCTTATTATGATTTACAATAGCAACAAGGCTTCGAAACTGCCAGCTGCCAAAACGCCTGCCTTTTACTGGAAGCGGCCGGCCCAAGGCCCCTGCCTCCTCCCTCCTCCCTGGCGGGGCCTCGTATCCCTGGCATCACGGCAAGCCCTCCTCAATTAGCGCCAACAGAAAGGTCACTTACTGAAACCCAAGTCCCTGTAGTTTGCCAGACCAGAGTCAGCTCCAGATTCCAACCTGTGGCTTTTAAAGGAGCAGGACCAGCTCTGATGGCTTTGCCTTCACTGAAGCCCCCTGCACCAGTCCTTTCTATCATATCTTACGGGAACCATTTGGTCTCCCAGCCTACCTCGAATTTCTTCTGATCAGTGAGCGGGTGGGGAGGAGAAGGTGTGGCTGGATTGAATGAAAGCTCCATCCTGCAGAAACCTGGGCGCTAATTGAGGAGCTGTCCCCGTTGCTGCTGGTGGGACCCTCCCCCAGGCTCAACGTCTTGGGTTTGTTCTGGTCAGTTCTGCGGATGTGTGATGTGGTGGATAACAATGTGCTCAGGCCACCTGGTTTTGTGCTGAGCCTCCTGCTGTCTGGCTTTGTGTGGGAACATGGACAAGTCCATAGCCTAAAGGCTTCTTACCTCAAAGATGAGCAGAACAATACCCACTTATGGAACATCACACGTGACCTTTCTCTTAATTTCCTTAGTGACCTAAGAAGGATTTGTTGCTAAAACACATGCCCTGTTAACCACAGGCACTGTGGTGGCCCTTGGAGCATGGGGGGCTATAAAGGGGCCTCCCAGGTCAGTGCATTGCCCCCACGTGGTCCCTCCCCGTGTTCAGTTGGCTGATCACCTTGCATCTTCACCTGCAAATGAAGGAGGCAGCTTCCTGGGTTCATGTGTTTTGTTTTGTTTTTTCTTTTCTTTTTTGAGATAGATTCTTGCTCTGTCGCCCAGGCTGGAGTGCAGTGGCACGATCTCAGCTCCCTGCAAGCTCCGCCTCCTGGGTTCACGCCATTCTCCTACCTCAGCCTCCGGAGTAACTGGGACTACAGGCGCCAGCCACCATGCCCGGCTAATTTTTTTGTATTTTTAGTGGAGACGGGGTTTCACCCTGTTAGCCAGGATGGTCTCGATCTCCTGACCTGGTGATCCGCCCGCCTTAGCCACCCAGGTTCATGTGGTTTTTAAATGAGAGTGCACAGTGGAAAGGAAAAGGTTTGTAACCCTAAGCGCTACCTGGAAGAGACAGCATTCAGTCCTTGGCTAGGGAGTGGGTGGAGAGGGTTGAGTCAGAGGGCAGCTGGACAGGTTGAGGGAGACCAAGTCTCTTGCCTGGCCTGGAGGGCAGGCCCTGTCAGCACTGGACCCAGCACCTCTCACTCCAGAGCCTGTAAGACAAGGGAGCTGCCCTCGTGGAGCCCCACTGGCCAGGGCTTCTGGAAAGCTGCAGCTTGCTGTGTGGGGAGATTAAACCCCAGCAGGAAGGCCCAGCAGGGACCAGAACCCCCAGGAGCTCATAGTCTCATGGGGGACACACTGCTGGCACCAGAGTTATGGGAGAGAACGTTTTCCTTGAACCAGGTCTCAAGCCCCTCCTGTGGGCTGGTTTTGCTCCAGGAGGATAAGGCCCCTGGCCCCTTGGAGTTGATATTCTAGCTGGGGTAGGGGTTGGGGGCAGGCTCTAGAGAAGCAAACAGTAAGAGGACGAATGTCACATGAGTGCCAGGGAGAAAACGGCCAGAGGTAGAGGGACAGGGTTGTGAAAATCCTGGATCTGGGCAAACTTCAACCCCTACTCAGATGGCCAAGCCCTGGCGATGAGGATGGGCAGTCAGGAAGGCACGTGGGCCAGCAGGAGGGTGCTGGCACGGCTGGACAGACCTGGATTTGAACGTTGGCTCCATCCCTTACCAGCTAGTGTTGTGAGCACATTCTCTCTCTTATCTCCAAGCCTCAACTACAAATAGATACTGACAGCTTCTCACCAGGCTAGGCAGGGACAAGTGAGGTCCCTGAGGTGCACATCAGGTGGGTTCGGCAGCTGTCATGATCATAGGGTGGCACTGGGGCCTGTCCTGTGTTTTGGGATCAGCTCTGACTCTCTGAAGCCTAGACTGAGGGCCCCTGAGTGAATGTGGTTCTAGAACTATCCTGCAGAGGGCAGCAGGTTTCCACAAACAGCCTGCCCGGCACCTAACACCTAAACCCAACCCAGGGAAGGTTCCAGGCTGTTCTCTTGCCCCGTGGGTCTCTCCCCTAGGAGCCCACAACAGAGCCCCTCTGCACCCCAGGAGATGTGGAGCCATGTGGTATCCGCAGGAAGGGAGATGGGGGATGGGGAGGAGAGGGGCAGAGGCTGCAGGGAGAGGCAGCCTCACGGCCCTCCATGAGCAGGGGACGAGAGGGGGCAGGTTGCCCTGTCCCCAGCCTCCCTCATCCCTACCTGCAGCCCTTGTGCAGAGACACAGAGGGTCCTGCTTCGCAGTCCAGCCTCTTCTTCCTCCCACCTGTAAGGGGCAGGGACTGTTGTGAGCCACGAGGCCCCCATGGCATCACCGGCTGCTCTCGGTGACCTTGACCTTAATGTCCAGGTGCCCTGGTTTGAGTCTGGGGCCCTCTGTGACCTGCCCTTGCTGGCCACTTGAACCTTCTTGAGTTCTCTCATTGCAACCAGCTCCAGCTGCTCTCTTGGCCTCAGGTGGAGGAGGCCAGCTCCACCTCCAGGGTGCGGTCCCTTTCTTCCTTCTCCATCACCTCCATCTGTCTGCTGAACACCTGGTGGTCTTCAATAATCAATTCTGGCCATCTCTGGCTCTACTGTTCCCATCTCCATTCCTGCTGGTGTCTTCCCTGTGCCCACAAATGCTGTCAGAGCCCCTGGTGCACTCTGGCGCCCCCATCTGACTGAGGCTCCCTTGGGAAGACCAGGTTCTGTTCCTCCCTAGCTCCGCCTCCTGCCTCGGCAGGTGCAGGGGGCTTGGAAAGTGTTCCAGGGTGAACTCAGTACCAGGTCCTCTAGGCTCATTCCTTGTGGTCTCGGGGTGCCCTGGTCCCTGGCTGAACAGTGGCCTGGAGGCAGCTGCTGTGCTTGGAGCCTTCTCTTGTGGGTGCCCAGAGAGGGGCCAAAGGGGGTGCTGCCTTCCCTGGGGGCTGAGCAGCCTGGGAGTTCAGCCAGACTTCAGGTCCCTGCTCCCCAGGCTTCCCATACCACGGAGGATATTTAAAGCAGACAAGAGCCAGGTCCCAGCTTAGAGCGGCTCCCTAAGACTCCCTGCTGGGCCTGATGTTAACCTTTTTTCTGTTGGACTGTGGGAAGAGTCTGAAGACCTTCAGGGAGCTGAGCTGGAGTGGTGATAGGGCTTTAGGGGATTGGGGCAAGTAGTAAATAGGGGGAGTTTGCTAACATCCTGGTGTTATTTCAGTATTTTAGCATCTACATGGCTTTGCTGGACTCACGGGCTCACGGCCCCAGCTGCCTAGGATCAGGCCCAGGCTCTCTGTACTGCAGGGAGGTAGGGAGGTGGGAAGGTCTGGGCAGCAGCAGCAGAATGTGGTGTCAAGTAGCTCGTACAAGATGGACTCAAGGCCCAGCGTGGTGACCCAGGGCCCTCACTGCAGACAGGCTGAGAGCATGGGCTCTGGAGACAGCTCACCTTCAAATCAGGTTGCATCCTGGCTGCTGTGACCTGGTCCAGGTGGCTAACCTTACAGGGTCTCAGCGTCTGCACCTGTAACCCTGGGAGAACAGTGTCACTTCCCTGATGAGAGAACAGAGTCTGGCACATGCTAGCACCATGTGGGGTGAACTCTCATTACTGTGGCCCTCAAGGCTATATGCATCCTCAGCAAGGCCCTTCTAATGCTTGGTGATCTGGCCTGAGGTGGAGCCCATATGCCTGCCCTCCCTGGACCAGGACAGGCTGGCAATGACACTTCTGTGGTCCCCCTGGCTTCATCTGGGGCCACCGCTTTCCACATTGTGCTAGGCTCCTGCTGACCCATACCACAGGGCCTCTTCGCCTTCTCTGGACCCCATCCCACATCGCTCTGCCCCAATCCTGGAGTGCTTGTC